TGGCAGCAGTAATAAAAGGGCTTTATGTCAGCAGTAATAACAAGGCTTTATGTCACAGTAATAAGGCTTTATGGCCCAGTAATAACAAAGGCTTTATGGCGAGTAATAACAAAGGCTTTATGTCAGCAGTAATAACAAAGGCTTATGGCGGCAGTAATAACAAAGGCTTTATGGCAGCAGTAACAAGGCTTTATGCACCATAATAACAAGGCTTTATACGCAGTAACAAAGGCTTTAACAGTAATAAAAGCTTTATGGCAGTAGTAATAAAGGCTTTACAGTAATATAACAAGGCTTTATGACAGTAATAACAAAGGCTTTGTGCAGTAATAACAAAGGGCTGTGACGCAGTGATAACAAGGCTTTATGTCAGCGAAATGTAAGCTATGGCAGTAATAAAAGGGCTTTATGACACAGTAATAAGAGGCTTTATGTCAGTAATAACAAAGGCTTTATGGCAGTAATAACAAGGCTTTATGACAGCAGTAATAACAAAGGCTTTATGTCAGCAGTAATAACAAAGGCTTTATGGCAGCTAGTATATAAGGCTTTATGACAGCAGTAATAACAAAGGCTTTATGGCAGCAGTAATAACAAAGGCTTTATGGCAGCAGTAATAACAAAGGCTTTATGACAGCAGTAATAAAACTAGCAGTATAAAACTATGCAGCATATAAAAGCTGCAGCAGTGAACAAGGCTTGTGACAGTAATAATAGGGCTTGCCGGTAATACAAGACTTATGAGTAAAAAGTTTCATATACATTGCTGCTTCTCATGAAAACTTAACAGTAATAATAAGGCTTTGGAAGAAGTAATAACAAAAGCTTTATGGCAGCAGTAATAACAAAGGCTTATGGCAGCAGTAATAACAAAGGCTTTATGGCAGTAATAACAAGGCATGGCAGCAGTAATAACAAAGGCTTTATGGCACCAGTAATAACAAAGGCTTTATGGCAGCAGTAATAACAAAGGCTTTATGTCAGCAGTAATAACAAAGGCTTTATGGCACCAGTAATAACAAAGGCTTTATGGCACCAGTAATAACAAAGGCTTTATGTCACCAGTAATAACAAAGGCTTTATGGCACCAGTAATAACAAAGGCTTTATGGCAGCAGTAATAACAAAGGCTTTATGGCACCAGTAATAACAAAGGCTTTTTATTGTAACACACTATGGGGCTTCAGGACTGGTCAGCCCTAGGAGCTGTTGTATGCTGAGGACTTGGTGTTGGTAGCAAATACTGTAGAGTAGTTTACCTGTAGTACTGAAGAGGCAGCAGCTATATTTAAGAAATGGAAAGAAAGATGAGAGTCAAAGGGTTTAAGGATGAATGTGGCAGAAATAAAAGTATTGATTAGTGGTGTGGGTGATGTGGGTAAAATGGCCATGGAAGGTGTTGGCAGCAGCTCAGTAATGTGCAGTGACTGGAAGATGTTAGGTCGGTACACAACAGGTTGCTGCAGGATGTTGCTGACTTTAAGTGTTCTGTATGTGCAAGTTACCATGTGCCAACAGCATGGCTGGAGAAACTCAACATTAGGTTATGTCCCTGGAGTGCATCAATGAGTCTGGGTGACATGATCAGTGCTGGAGGGGGTGCTGAAGCCTGCTCAGTTGTAAGAGTAAGAAGTGGCTGGAGGAAGTTTAGAGAGTTACTGCTTTTATTGATGACAAGACGACCTTCCCTTCACATGAAAGGAAAGATGTATGCAACTAGTAAGAGAAGTGTGATGTTGTAGGTGAGTGAAACATGGGTTAAAGCGGATGACTTACAGGTACACAGCTTTGGGCAAATTGAAATAAGAATGGTGAGAAAAATGTGCAACGTGATACTGAAAAACAGAAAACCCTATCTAGAGATATGAAGGCAGCTAGGTATTAAGAATCTGGGCAAAGTTTAGCATAGAAGCAGGCTGAGATGGTTTGGGACATGTGGAGAGAATGGTTGAGACCAACTGTGGTAAGAGATGCATGAGTCTAAATGTGGAGGGGAGGCGAGCCAAGAAAGACATGGACAGAGGCTGAAAGCAACGACACTACTGTACAGTTAGGAACCTGACAAGAGACCATGCAGCGTGGAAAGCTACTATCAAGTAATTGTGGCTAACCTGTGTAACTGTGGAAAGTGGCTAAGATATTGATGATGACAGTGGGAAATTATACATCACCTCTCGTGTAAACAAATACTGTACTGTGTGTAAATATAATGTGGTATTTGCATTTCATTTATCATTACAGAGCAGATTTTATTAACACTACATATACCTGTAATATATTTTCAAATCTTGCTTTCCCCTACAGGACATAATGCATACAGTACAGTATAAATATTATTACTACAGTCCTTTATTATCATTACTATACTGTACTACTGTATATAAGAGATACAGTACAGTATATATAAATCAGCTATACAGAGACCTTGCTTACTGTAACATGACCTACACTACTGTACCTTCCCTCTACTGTAACCTGACCTACTGTACACTACTGTAGCTTTAAACAGCCACATCACCTGAAGATTAGCTCTCCCATTACCTTACTTCACCAGACAATGCTTCTACAGGAATTAGCTTAGGGTTAGCTTAGAATTTAAACCTAAGCTAATCTTCAGGTGATTCAAACCCCTAATGTTTACAGTACAGTATATATCGTACACTCAGATAAGGATGAAAGTGTATGGCTGTAACACAAGTAATGTACAATAATGACTTAAAATGAAGAGACATAATTCCTACTGCATAACCTTCACCTGAATCACATGCTTTAAGAAATTATTCAAAGGTTAGTTAAGTTGGGTTAGGTTAGTTAGATTAGGTTAAGATGGTTTAGGTTAGGTTAAGATGGTTTAGGTTAGTATATGGATGGTTAAGGATGAAAAAAAGAGCTAGGGGGGCTTATCTTCAGGTGATCCAAATATATTTCACATTAAATACTTTAAGTAATAAACATTGTTAACGAACTTGTATTCATCACTAACTCACTCAACTTAACAGATTTCTAAAGATGCCACAAGTTATAACAAAACATTAGTTAGTTGTTTATACATTTTGGTCATTATTTCCCTCATTAACTTGATTTAATTATTTCTCTGTGGAGGCCATTTAACGCCTTCACTATGGAGACATTAAATATTTTATTTGGCTAATTCTAGATAATTTTATTCAATTCAGAGGGACTCCATACACAAGGGATTAAACACTATATTATTGTATTATTATTATTGTTACTGCTAAACCTTATCTCTCTATCACATAATTTATTCAATATTAATGATAGACAAACTTGAGGTATAGAGTTAATAAATAAGTCATTATAACACTTACCCTTAGGTCAGGTGTTGGTCAGTGACAGTGAACTTGACCTCACGTAGTCTTAGAGGTAACTTCAGATGACCTAGGCTGACAGTCGGCTTAGAATTAACTTTGTTTGATTTCCCAAGTCTATAATACACTTTGATTTGACTCCATAGGCCTACGATGGCTTTACAATTGGCCTTACTCGATTCCTGGTGCTTAGAATTTGGCTCACCTGACCTTTTAGGCCTACAACAACTCAAGTATTTGCCTCACCTGACCTTTTAGGCCTACAAAAACTCAAGTATTTGCCTCACCTGACCTAATAGGCCTACAACAACTCAAGTATTTGCCTCACCTGACCTAATAGGCCTACAACAACGCAGGTAATTGCTCCACTAATTACTCTGCCCCAGGTGTTGCCTCTCGACTGTGCAGCTTTAAAGGGGCCGCCTGAGATACTCGCTCTTATTTCCACCACAAACACTCACTCCTTCACTGACAGCACCACACGAGGCGGAGGTTCATTTATACAAGACACCTAGGGAATGGAAAGGCGACGGGAGGTGATAAAACAGGTTGATAAGTGAGAATACACAGGAGAAATGTCTGCCACACTCCTCCTCACAACACAGCCATGACGCACTGACGGCCAAGGTGACTCATGCTAGAAACTTACCACGAACAAAACAACAGACCTATTCAACATCTATATTTCTCCTTAAAACAATTATAGAATCTTTTTTATAAACTTGAATTAATATATATTGTTATTTTGTGTAAAGTTAAATGTTTAAAATGGTTTAAATTGGCTAATATTGTCTAAAAGTTAAATTTGGTTCATCAACATTACTTGTGATTTTTAACATTAGTATTTTCCCGCTAAATCACCAAACTGACAATTACTATAATAATTATCTAGACACCAATTATTATATAGATAATCACAATGCAAATATAAGATTATACAAAATGGAACATATCAATTCTTGTGGAGATTATTTCAAGAACTTTATATTTAATTCTATAATAATTACTTTTAACAAACTATATTACTTTATGGCTTAATACAGTAATGGGACAGGGCACACGGCGTCTTAATTCGATTAATTGATTTATAATGTTACAATAAGCCATATAATAGATAGTAAGTATATATTATTCTCTTCTATTATTTAAATTTAATTATTTTAATGTGAATAAATATTTACTTCTAGAAAACCTCTCAAATAAAACCACTATTCAGGAGAGAGAACTTCAACAAGTGTGACAATGTTTTAGGAAGTTAAACTAAAATAAAAGAATAAAATTAAATGATTTACACATAACCTTGCTAAAAATTATTTGCGTATTAATTGTACATGTGAATAAAGTTGTACAATAAGGAAATTTAGTAGAATTATATTTTGTTTTTATAGATGGCGCTGCTATAGCTACAGTTTCTGGATATCAACAGGGTAGGGCGCCAAGGCATGTAATGTTAAAATATTTACCACAAACAAGACCAAGATAAAAAAAAATAAAGTTACAATTAATAAGCAAAATTAATCATCAAAATTAAATATGAACTTTTCTTATAATAGATATATTTTATTTGAAATAATAGACTGGATATATATTTAATTTATATTCATTTAAAATATAATGTAGTAAAAAGACGTTCATAGTACTTCGGTTAACATCGGCCATGCTCCCTCAACAGCTGTTCATTGGGGAAAAGTTTAAATGATTCCGAGTATTTCCTGGTGAGTTTTGTCTCTTACATCATATTAATCCACTTAATACTTTTATTGTCACTACTAACTTTAATAACAAACAATTTTCATTAATTTCAAACTAATTTTATTCTCGTAGGACTGAAGGTTTTGTATATATTGTGATTTTTATGTTAGGTGTTGGGAGTCTCATTATAAAACACTAATATATCACACAAGAACAGTTAATAATTATACAGGAACTACAACACAAGTCTTAACCATTAAATGAGAATAAAAGGAAGTTAATTAAAGATATCTGGCAGGTGTTATGGCCTCTCTTATATGGTCTGGTTATTGGTTCATATCTTCTTCTATTGATCTAATTTATGGGTTTTTTATGGTTAGGTTAGGTTCAGGTGACTGGTTTGTTGGTTTATTATTATTATTGTCTTTATTATTCCAGATTATTTCACCCATATTACTAATCTAACTCCCCAGGTAGTAGGGTATTATGGGGGTCCTACTAATCAAATGAAGAAAAAGAATAAATCACTAGTATTCGAGAAGTGATTAGCAGTTCGATTTATTCATCTAGGACCATTATTTGACTTCATTCCGGCTACATTTGGGTAATTAGTCGGACCGTATTATGGTAGTTAATTATAAGGTAATGTTAAGGTAAACCAAGGTATGACACTGTTTTATTACCGTGTGTTTTATTACCGTGTGTTTTATTAACGTGTGTTTGTTGTTTCAGAAGATGATGGCCAACTTGTCCAGAACATTAGAAAAGATCAAGAATGGGAAGTTGGTGGATATACAGGGTGATGTTGAGGTGAGTCAGTCTGGTGATGTTGAGGTGAGTCAGTCTGGTGATGTTGAGGTGAGTCAGTCTGGTGATGTTGAGGTGAGTCAGTCTGGTGATGTTGAGGTGAGTCAGTCTGGTGATGTTGAGGTGAGTCAGTCTGGTGATGTTGAGGTGAGTCAGTCTGGTGATGTTGAGGTGAGTCAGTCTGGTGATGTTGAGGTGAGTCAGTCTGGTGATGTTGAGGTGAGTCAGTCTGGTGCCACCCCCACAGTGAGACCTTATAGCCAACTCCTCTCTCTCCATGTAATCCGTTAGATGGGGGGGGTTTACACCTAACAGACACTCAATATTACGGACTCATCTTTATACGGTAGTTAGTTAGACGGAGGATCACGGTACATTGTTTGAGACACTGTATTACACTGGCTGTTATATTACTGTACTGCCAGGGAACACTCAGTTAAGAGGGGTTTTATTTTTAGGCAGAGCACCACAGTTGATAGGTTAGGTTAAGTTATTTGTGAGGATAACGTCATAGAAGAAAAGTGTTTCAAAAATATCTAAATTTTTTATTGCAAAGAAAAAAATTGTGTTGTCTGAGAGTAAAAATTTACCATATACTGTAGTGTACTGTTGACATGAACTAATACTGTGTGGAGGTTATGGTGTACAGTAGCTGTCTTGATATTGACAGAGGATTGTGGAGTTGGGCGGCAAGGACGGTACCGAGGGTCAACAGATGGTCCGTCGCTGCTCCAGGTACGCGTTCGAGAACCAGAACCTGGAGCGGCCGGTGTTCTCCGCCATGATGGATATTATCGACCTGGTCATTAAACACCAACACGTCCGCCTTGCCACTGAACCCTTGTTCCATCTTAACTCTATCTTTTACATCATTACTCTTGCTGCTCGGAGGAAGGTGAGTTACATGTATTGTGCTTCTTGTTATTATTTCCTTCCAGTTTAGGATAATGAACAAGTGTCTGGATAGTTTGTTGATGTAATCCTCTCCTTCCTCTTGTGTTGTTTTCCTTCAATGGACGAGTTGACGGTTCTGGGCAAACATAAGAAATACGCTCTGCCACTTGTAGAGTGATATGGGGTCTGCCCATATCGTCACCACTATTTTTAACCCATTTCGTCACCACGTTCATTCCCATCATTATATACACGAAAATAACTGTTGCTTGGGATAGAAAATCATAAAAAACACAGATATAAGGGTGGGTTTTTTTTTTTTTTTTTATACAGGGATTATCCCACCCAGGCACAGTTCACTGACCCACATCGGGGCCTGGGGGGCGAAAATGTAATAATAATAATAATAATTCAGATCAGTAAAATTTATAATAAAAATACAAAATTAAAATTTAAATAATAAAATAACAATAATGATGATAATAACAATAAAGAAATACAAAATGAAAAAAAATCGAGAGTTAAAAACAATATACTGTATGTATGTTGTGTTGTCAGAGAAACAATTGAGACCCTACAATTGTGTGTAAATGAGGCAGAAAGTCAGATCATCAACCTGGGACTTGGTCACATATGGCAGCAGGGTCTACCATTAGACTACACATTATGCTTCCAATATCTTCCCAGGTGGTAGTACCTCCCTGTTTGGTAGCTGCCTACTACCTCAAATGGAGGAAACTGCAGCGGGCCTATTGGCCTCAGTTTTCATTAGACACGGGCTTTCCTTGTCTCGTGTCTTCTTCCTTCATCCTCGTTATCACTTCCTTTAATTTCAAGTTTTCTTCTTTGACCTTCACTAACTCGGCCAGTAGTTCGGCCCTCAGAAGGGCACAGCCCTGTTCACAAATAGCACTAGCCATTACCGACAATAATTAATATTCATGTATTATAATAACAATACTTTTTGAGTCGTCTGTGTACATGTGTAATTTCTCTTCGTGTAAAATAATAACTTACAATTTGTCACCAATACCAGCGACTGTTAGTGGTGACGAAACGGATTTGATACTGGTAACGGAATGGGGTTTTGGTGACGAACCGGGTCGGTGACGAAATGGGGTGTATTTGGTATATATAATTTGTAATAAAAATTTAAAGTCCTGCTATAATAGTCGAGATAAGTTTATTTCTCTAGAAACAGGACCGCCATTTGCAATGACGTCACTGGTTTCAAACTCATCGCTGCAGTCGGAGGTCGTAGAAAGGATGGCCTCTTCAGACACCAAATGCCACGTTCAGGTAAGTTTTAAGGGTCATTTTTTATGGTTTAAGTCATGGACATTTCGTAAGTGAAGAAATGTGCCGTGAAGAGCGGCTTCAAACGTAGGGTGGATGGATATATGAGCGATAGGGGTTGAGTGTAAATGCGACTGCCCAGTATGGGCCAATAGGCCCGCTGCAGTTTCCTCCATTCTTATTTTCTTTTAGACATAAAAACTCCCATGTTCACATCAGCTCAGCTGTCATGTACTCTTACCTGGTAGACTTTCTCTTTTTTCAGTGTATTTACAGAGTACATCAGTATTTTCAGTGTATTTACAGAGTACATCAGTACTAGATGGAGATACGAGTCAATTTAGAAGTAATGACATTGTCTGGACTTTGTTTTGATAATGCCTGGTGGTAGTTAACATGACAACATAGTGCTGTTTTTGTTTTGATGATTCACTTATGAACCACCTTGATATATCATCATTTATATTAATTAGTGGGTAAAATTTTACTTGAACCACCACAAGTATTTTGATGTATAGATTCGAGATGGCTTTATTGGGTAAATTTTAAGTTTTGGTCTTCCCTGTACTTAGACATGCAGACTGTTTTTTTTTTGTCTGATCGATTGTGATGTGTTATGAATGATTTAGACCTTCATTTCTATTGGAAATCAATAGTTTTGAGTTACTACCCCCCTCCCTCCCTCCCTTACCCATGTATGTTAAGCTAACCTTATAACTCAACATATCCTAACGGCCTAACCTAACCTATGATCTGTATTTTCTTATGCGATCGAAAAATGTTTTGCGACAGAAATCCTGGAGAGATAATGTGTCTTATTGTTTTAAGTACGTAGTCTCAGTTAGAATCTTAAGGTTCCCCAGATGACCTAAACCAAAACAATACCAATAATGTTTATACTATGAAATTTGTTGTATGGGCAGCTAATATCATCCATTGAATTAGTTTATGTGCCTTGTAATATTTATATACTGTATTCAAAATAGTGTTACTGTGTTGCACAGAAAAGCACAATTAATTATCTAATAATATTTATTTACAGAGCCGAGAAGGTTGGACAACTATAGCTGGCTGCCTCCCACTGGGAAGCTTGCCCCAACCAGTGATGTCAACCAATCACAGAGCTTTTCACAGTCACGTGAATTTTTAGCAACTTTAACCCTTATTTTTGACACTTTTTGGCCCAATTTATTTTAAAATATTATTACCATAGTGAATTTAAGCGTTTTCTTTACCCATTGACCTGCCATCTTAGGAAAAAAATTTGACCGTCAACTCGTCCATTACCAACACGAAATAGAAGAGTAAAGATTGTAAACTGGTACAGCATAGTGATGTTCCTCAGCTTATTTTACCTGAAGATTGATTAATCACACTAATTCTAACCTAACCCCCTCAAGGAGCATTAGGATGGTTAATATTTAAGTGAAATAAGCTGGGGGAGTGACTCTGTAGGTGATTCATGTAGGTCTACCATCTGAGTTTCAAACAAAATAAAATGTTTAGATGTAGAGTATTGTCTGTGTTTATCAGGTTATACATTACTCTGTACTTGCAGGATCTTCACCAGTACCTGACTGGACTGATGGCAGGTTTAGAGCCTTACGTGAGTCAGTGTGACGCCACAAAGGGGGACGTTCAAGACATGCTCAAGGCCTTATCTCAATGTGTGTGGGAGGCTAGTCTGGCCAATGCCTCGCCTCAACAAACTCTCATCTTACAGAGATTTTCACTACAGTACCTCACTGCCGCGGGAACGAGCGTAGTTGATGTTTGCCAAAAAGTAACGAGAGTGCACCAGACTTTTACACGAGCACAAAAGTCAGAAGAAAACCTTGATAAGTTTTATGAGTTTGCCATCAACATGTTAACCACGGGGAGAGTTGAGACAGAGAAGACGTACGATGGAGAGGATGTGTTGGCTGTGTTTGGTCTAGTCATGGAGTATGCCAAGATTGTTGATAAACTGGACAAGTTTGCAAGCTTCAGTAAAATCACTCGACCCTTCGTCACTTTTTTTGAAAGCATTTGTGAAGAACAAATAATATTGGCCCTGAAAGTTGGCCTGAAGCTGGTGGAGGTGGGGATGGCTCTTAAGGCCGGCAAGTGTAAGGAAGAGATGATCGTTAAGTTGGTGATGTCGTGTAGTTTCGTCTCCAACATCTTGGAGCCAAACACAATCGTACTAGTGAGCTTACTGTACACTACAGAACTGTTTGAGTACGAGGGGAACGAAGATGCTTTGGTAAGACCTTTTGTCGTTATTGAAAGATTTTCTTCCTAGTTATAGCATGTGTTAGTACTATACTATTGTGCATTAGGCAGAGTAGCACTGCCATATAAGTACTGTATCACATCACTTGTTACTGCACCTCAATACACCAGGTAGATTGAAAAATTATTAATTTTGTATTTATTTATTTTTTATGTGCAAGCGATACATAACTATATTATTACTTTCTTATGTACCATTTATGATGATTGTGTTTATTTTTTCAGCACTCTCTAAGTAGTGAGACGTTGGCACTCCTGGTTAAGACTCTGCTGGCCAGATGCATCCCACCACTACCAGAGGACATCATCAGGAAGGTGAGTCTTATACTGCCTCTTGTGTTTACTCAAGAACCTAACGTTTACTACTACAGTACAGTGAAACGTCTTTTTATAACGGGCAGTATGAGAGGAAATTCCTTGAGATACCATACTGTACGGGGTCATTTGTTTTGTTTGAGAACCCTACATGGTTACTGCAGTTTTGGATGTGCAATAAACAGGAACTTGGATCATATTGTGAGGAACATAAAATGCTTTCTGCTGGCCTGATGTCGGCGCCAAGCCTGGCTGTTAAGCCGCTACCTCACTACTGCTGCAGATGCACCACGTGGTCAGGGTAGGTCCTGCAGCTCACACAGTGTTGGAGATAGTTCTTGTTCCTCATGTGAAGTAGTTAGGAATTCATAGTTCCTCACCTGGGTGGAGTAGGGAGTCCTCACTTCTCTCCTGGTGTAGTTAGGTGTGTTTCTTGTGTTCTCATCTAGTGTTGGTGGTGGCGAGTGTACCGCGGGCGGGTGTGTCACGTCAAGGGTCAGGTCAACACTGACCACTAAGCACAATTGTCACTAACAGTTGTTTTTTCTTTTGAGTTGAAATTGTCGCTTTTGTATATCACTTGTGGGTTGATGGTCAGTCTTTGCACTGTAGTGTTGGTAAATACAGATTTGAAGCAGGAGATGGGGCAGAGGAGGGCCTGACAGACCGGGCTGGCAGCTGTCTCCATGGTCAAGAGACCACGGGCATGTTAGCGGGCAGCGCCGACTGCACACGTCCTTACACCTATGAAGGCTGAGTGTGTGTGTGTTCATGATGATGATTAAATCTTAACGTAGCAAAGCAACAATCCACATTAGCTCCGGACCTCCCGTGTGTTCATGTATGTATGTGTGTGTGTGTGTGTGTGTTCATGTATGTGTGTGTGTGTGTGTGTCTGCAAGTATGTATGTGTAAGTGTGTGTGTGTGTGTGTGTGTTCACGTATGTCTGTGTGTTCATGTATGTCTGTCTGTATGTGTCTGTGTGTGTGTGTGTGTCTGTGTGTGTCTGTGTGTGTGTGTGTGTGTGTCTGTGTCTGTGTCTGTGTCTGTGTGTGTGTGTCTGTGTCTGTGTGTGTGTGTGATGGTTGTTTTGGCACTTCCCCATTTCATTGTATATTTGTCGTACACATTTTTTCTCCCATACCATTTCCTCCATATGTTTTTTCTTTCTTTTTTTTAAGTTTGTGGGAACGGAGGAAAACTTAAAGATAGATCAATATAACGTTTGGACAAATTAAAGATCTAGACAAGTTAGGTAGATGGGATTAATTGATTGGTGACTCTTCCCTCAGGTGGTCACTGTCCTTCACCTACAGTTGGGTTACTTTGTGGAACAGGTGAGTACTTCTACAGACCAGAACAAGACGTTGACTCAAGCCCTACACTGGGTCACGAAGGCAAATTCTTTCATTGCCACCTACTGCACTGATACAGCACACGCGTTGACCGGTATATACAATGTTGGTGAGTTAATGAGTTCTTGTGCTGTACTTTAGGTCAACACAGGTGATGAAGTATTTGAGAAGGATTGGTTAACTGATAGGCATATTAATTCCTAATTTGTCTTAATGGTTATACAGTCTATATAAAGTTAAGCCAAAATGTCCTGAATTATAGAATATTTATCCCAAACTTCACTAAAATATACAGTACCAAGGGTTATGCTGTGTTGAAGCATCATATACTGTACTTCTCTATTATTTCCCACATTAAGAGCAGCTTCCTGGCTTGTGTACATTTTTGACTGAGGTTCTCATAGTTATGGGTCGTGTCATTAAGACTACTACGGTACCTTGTTTCCCAGAGTTTGTGAACCCACAGTCAAACAGGCTTAGCTATTCCAGGGTACAGTATTGCTGTGACTTGGCTAGCACACACACGACACCACAACAACGTACACACGTAAGGAACATCTTAAAAGAAATGTGTATTTCTCGTCAATAGGCGTAAACTCGGGTAACTTGGGAGTGTTGGCGTTCCGGAACAACAGGTACGACATGGCCGCCAAAATCCTGGAGATGTATGTGGACATGCTGTACAGATATCACACAGCAGCCTCACAGGAGATGAAGGTAATTCTCTTATTTACTGATTTGGACTCCTCATTATTTATAGAATAAGAAATTAAATTGGTTAGATATGCCATATTTTCCCCAATTTTTTTCTCACTTTATATAGGGCAGGTGGAGTCATCAGCAAATACTGTACATATGCTTGAGATATGTTTATTTTGCCACTTTATCTCTCCTCTTGTTCTCAACCTGAGGTCCTCATATATACTGTACTAATGTTTATTGATGTATTCCACCGTGATGTTCCTTTCCTCTCCTCGATAGAACCTCGTAGGTCCGTCAATAAGCAAGAAGATACGGTTGTGGAGCGACTCCCTGAGGTACAACGAGCAGTGCTGGGAGGCTGGTGTGGCTGCTGCTCGGGGACACCTCATGGGCTTCCTGTCTCGGGAGGACCTGTTCACTATGTGGATTAAGTGCAAAAGGGACGTCGTAAAATATAAAAATAAAACATTAAAAGTGAGTCTCCGATGAAGAATCTGTTACCCATATAACACAGCTTGTATTTATAGGTTAATTTATAATGAACATATTAGTGTTTGATTTATTTTAAGAATAATGACGCATTGGGTAAACTTCTCTGAGTTTGATAAGCAATAATTTTCCTTCTAATTTTTTTGGGGGGATGACTGTTTTAGGGGGTGTGTGTGTGTGTGTATTTGTGGCTGTGTGTGTGGTTTACTTCAGATGGAGGGTCCTGGATCTTAGTAAAGTAGTTATTTAGGTTGTACAGTGATCCCTCAGTTAACAAACGCCTCGGTTAACAAAATTTCAGTTAACGAATTACCTTCCATAAGAATCTTCATTTCGGTTAACGAAATTCTTACGAAATCATGTCAACATGTTTTCACTTGCTCACCAGCTGGAATATTAGTCCGCCAATACAGTAATCGGTTCTAGGGCTTAAATTCGTTCCCATTTGAGTAAATATCAAGAAGGTTGTACTATTCAATAATTTTCCAAGTTTTATATTAAAATTTTTAGTCATTTTAACACTTATTTAACATAACTGGAGTACAGGAAACTAGTTTTTGATGCGCAAATCAGCCACTTGACTCGCCCACAAAGGCGTCAGTTTGTATCTCTGGTCAGTGGAGGTAACATCTTGCTTGTGGCTCTCTTGAACACAAACTATTTTTACGTTTTTACAGTACAATTATTCGTCAATCTGAAATTGATTTAACATATTGATAATATATAGCACAGTGCAGTGTTGATTTAAATAAAATAATCTTTATATACAGCAATTAAACTTTAAATTTTAGTGTTGAAATTAAATCCAGCGTGGGTCCAAAGAAATCTAGAAAGGCGATTTCAAGCCAGGTAAAACAGGAAATAATAAAGAAATACGAACAAGGCATTAGAACAAGTGTGCTTAGTAACGACTATGGCATGTCGGTATCAACTGTGACGACAATTCTTGCACAGAAAGACAAGTTCAAGGAAGTGAAAGTGAGAGACAAATCTATCAGAGTGTTTGGAGGTAGATCCTTAATTGCAGAAACAGAGAGGTTACTTCTCATTTGGATTAAGGAAAAGCAAATGAAAGGAGATTCAATTTCGACAGAATTTATTTGTGAAAGACCCAGGGAAATTTACGAACATTTGAAGGAAGAGCAACCTGGTTCTTCTGGCACAGAGTTTGAAGAGTTTAGGGCCAGCAAGGGCTAGTTTGAAAAATTTAAGAAAAGAAGTGACATTTTCAGTGTTATTAGGCATGGTGAGGCTGCTGGTGCAGATAAAGAAGGAGCAGCAAAATTTGTAGTGGATTTTAAGGAACTGGTGGAGGAAGAAAATTATCCTCCACAGCAAGTGTTCAATGTGGACGAAACTGGGCTGTTCTGGAAGAAAATGCCCAAAAGGACATTCATCACCAGAGATGAAGCCTCTTTACCTGGGCATAAACCCATGAAAGACCGTCTCACTCTATTGCTTGGTACCAATGCTTCAGGGGATTTCCGACTGAAGCCTATGCTTGTCTACCACTCTGAGAACCCCAGGGTGTTCAAGCAACAAAAAGTGGGAAGAGGAAAGCTAGGAGTTTATTGGAAGTCCAACCGTAAGGCATGGGTGACAAGACAGCTCTTTAATGAATGGGCTGTTGAGGTGTTTTGCCCTTCTGTGAAGAGCTACCTAACCAATAAACTCCCTTTAAAGGCTCTTCTCCTTATGGATAATACCCCTGGTCATGACCCTGAACTTGCCAGCACTTTGGAGGCTCGATTTGACTTTGTCAAAGTGTTGTTTTTGCCTCCCAACACTACATCAATCATACAGCCAATGGACCAGAATGTAATCAGCAACTTCAAGAAATTGTACATGAAGAAAATGTTCAGAAGGTGTCATCAGGCAACTTCCACTGATCCTGATATATCACTGGCACAGTTCTGGAAGACACACTTTAACATCCTGGAGGCTGTAAAATTGATTGTCTCATCATGGCGAGAAGTCTCCATGAGATCCCTCAATTCTGCATGGAAAGCACTGTGGCCATCAGCAGTCCATGATTTTGAGGGATTTGAGGAAGAAGGAGAGTTGGACAAGGAGATTGTGTCCATTGGTCAGTCAATGGGCCTCGAAGTGGAGGAGGAGGATGTGGAAGAGCTTGTGATGTCTCATGAGCAGGAACTTACTCCTGAAGACTTGCAGCAACTGGATGAGATGTTGGAAGCTGACAGTGGTGAGGAGGAAAGGGAAAGTGATGACTATATGTCTTCTTCAGATTTGAAGGATGTTCACTACTGGGAGAAAGTCAGGAAACTGGCTTCAAGGCATCCAGATGTGGAAACAAGAGAACCTATTTTGTGTAATGTTGAGGACAGAGTGGTCTCCTTCAAAATTCAGTTAATGATGAGGAGGAGAAATGCCCCACAAACAAAAATCGACAGTTTCTTCTCTAAGAGGCAGCAGGAGAAAGATGCTACCCTTCAGCCTTCCACTTCAAAAAGGAGAGAGAATTTTCCTGCTGGAGAATCTGTCAGTCCAGAGGTTCCTGACATTTTTATGGAAGGTGACTCGCCTTCCAAGAAGCAGTAAAATGCTTCTCCACTTCCTTCTCTTCTCCCTTCTCCTCCTCCACCTCCCACTTCAAATTCACATCATCATCATCATCCAGGAGCCTTCTACATACACACCTCAAAGTAAGTGTACTTTACTGCATTTTTTTTTTACTTTATATAATTTTCGGTGAGCTGGAACCAATTACCCAAAACCCCATTGAAACAATGGTTTCGGTTAACAAAATTTTCAGTTAACGAATAACCTTCTGGAATGAATTGTGTTCGTTAACCGAGGGACCACTGTATATTCCTGCAGGAGCCTTATATCTGCTTATGATGTTTAACCAGTTTCCTAGGACCTCTCATGATGGTGTTATGTTGAACTAGCTTAAAGTGTGTGAATGATAGTAAGAATTAGTTGGAGTGACATATTGAGGGTGTTTGTATATTAATTAAAAGTTGTAAATAGTTGTGAGTATTCTCCACACAAAACTTTCAATACTGGTTTGTGTTAGAGGAAATGGCAAATGGAGCATTACTATACTTGGTTATTATTGTTGTTGTTGTGGTTAATATGATGAAATTTGTGTCCTGTGTAGGGTTTAACTGTGTGTGATGTTGTGAGTGAAGCCCAGAAGAAGTACGGTAAGGCAGAGGGAGTCTCGATCAACGAGGATGAACTACTTCTGACAGAAATCAAGTATTATATGAAACAAGAGTAAGTTAACATGTCTCATTTACTCAACAAAACGCCTGACACATTACCTTACACTTCATCACCTTGGGTCAAAATTTACTTCATGTTCAAATTTCATACACAGCTGCTTTATGTACTCCTGAACTTGCTGAGTAAGGATCTAGGATAAAAATTCCAACTTTGAGTCTAGTTAATGTTAATTAATGACCTGTGAAATAATTACAACATATTTAGGATATATTAAAACTACAGTTGTTTATACCTGTACAGTAACTTGAGAATATAGATAGGGAACTAGACTAGGGTGGTGGTGGTGGCTGAGAGTAGAGTTCCTACCACAGTAAAGTATGCAGTTCAGTACTACACTATGTAAACTAATGGTAGAAAATATATTCAGAAATGAGAAGTGATTAAATTATGATCATTTTAATAAGTCAATCATACCGTGCAAAGAACACATTATAATACATGTTGTACTGAACTATACATTGATAATATGCTCACAGTGCTGTGTCTTGTAAGCCTTGAGAGACTGTTTGTAACCAATACTGGTTCATCAGGACCGAGGTTTTGATTTGTATTACCGAATCTGTAAACAAATTTCTCGCGTTTTCCCCAGTAATGACACATTTATGGATAGACTCTCATGTGGGAGGAAACTGGTTGAGTGTGGGAACAGTGTGAAGATAAAGGTGCGAGGCCTTCTGGCAGTGAGTGAGGCACTGTGGCACTGTCCTAAACTCGCTACTCTTCAACAGGAGGCCTTAAACAGTGCTAACACAGCCATTAACATGTTAAAGGAAGCCTCTGTAAGTATATACTGTATCTTGTTTCAGTTCAGTTGTCTGTGTTAGGACACCTGTCAAAACTGTCTCTTTCTCTCTCTCTCCCCCCTCTTCTCTCTCTCTCTTTCTTTACTCTCTTCACTCTCTCTCTGCGTATGGTTTACCACGTAGACTCTTTGTCTGGAGAAACTGTTCATGTTTCACCTTAATACTCTGGCCTTACCTGACCTGATCTAACCTCTAAACAAATACTATATTATCTCTTGGTTCAGTAACTAGGTTACCTCTCTCTGCTCTATTTTCTAAAATTTAGTTCTTCCATCTTTAATGAAGAGGATTTTCTGGTCATGATATTTAAAACCATTTCCACCATGTCATCATTTCACCATATTTTGTAACTGCAACCATGTAATGTGTCTATATATTTAATAGATGCATTCACAGATATTAAACATATTTATAAAGTGTCCAGTTCACCCAAAGATTAAATACCCAAACTTATTTCACCTGAAGATTAACCACCTGAGTGTTGTGCCTGGGAAGCTTAGGATAGGTTAGAGTTAGGGTGGTTAATCTTCAGGTGAGATTAGCTGGGGCGTTTGATCTGAACGTCTTGGTATTGGTTAAGGCTGGTTTGTGTGAGGCAAGAGAGAGAAATCATATAAATATTTTAAGGTCTTGATGTGGAAGGGAACATGATAACAGTAGTGAGTGGAGGAAAAGTCATTGTTTTCTCCTCACTCCAGTCGCCCATCATTTACAACGCAATGTACCGACCAGTAAAAAATAATTAAAATACTGTAGCTGTGATTATAATTTGTTTTGTATTTGGATAATTGATTTTTTTTTCAGGGATTATCCCACCCGGGCACAGGTCACTGACCCACATCGGGGCCTGGGGGGCGAAAGTATAATAATAGTAATAATTAATAAAAATTGATGAAAATTATACCACCAAAATAAAAAAAAAAATAATAATAATAACCAGAAATAAATACACGAATGATAAAATAAATCAAGAGTAAGAAACAATATATGTATGTTGTGTTGTCAATAGTAAGAGAAACAATTGAGACCCTGCAATTGTGTGTAAATGAGACAGAAAGTCAGATCATCAACCTGGGACTTGGTCACACAGGGTCTACCATTAGACAACACATTAAGTTTCCATTATCTTCCCTGTTTGATAGCTGCCTAATACTGTACCTACAGTTATTGAGTGTTAGTTTTATCTTATCTGTTGTTTAATGTTTTCTTTATTTCAGTGTGGTGGTGAATGTGACCCCAGCCTGCAGGAACTGAAGGCTATGGCATACTTCTGGGTCTACCTGTGTCAATTGCAAGAAATGTCAGATATAGTGGCAGTAAGTACAGTACACCAGTTTAAGGTTAAGATTCGTTTTATACACTAGCCAGTATCTCCTAGGACATGGTATCTATTTACAATCTTACCTTATACATGTCCTTAACTAACCTCCAACCCTCCTGGAAAATTATGATTTGATGAAAATTGCATAAAAATAATTTTGGGAAAAAAATTATACTATGTGCCGCGTGCCATTTCATGGCAATTACTTGGTCGCATGATTCTTTGTTACACTCCCATTGGATGCTTTCAAATCATGCACGAGATTCAAAAGACAAAAGGAGGCAGCCAGCCAGTTGCAACATGGCCTGTGAGCAGGCACAGACTCTTTCCTAACTACTGTGAAAAAAAATTTTCAGGATGAGGCGGCAAATGTTAGGTTAGGTTAGGTAAATATATTTTTATGGTGTGTTTTTATATGCTTTCTGCCAAATTTGACCTCTGTCTCCATGGAAAACTGGTAGTTTATTTGGAATTTCAAAACTAATTTTCTTCAAAACTACTACGGTAGTTTCCCAGGGGAAACGAGGGTCGTTTTTTTAAGAAAGCAAATAAAATGCATCAGAAAAATGTTTTTAACTAAAAATAACGTTGGTGCATAAAACGAATCTTTGTCCAGTTTAAAAGGTTCCTCAAGATGATGCCCCTCTACTGAATCTCACTAAAATATTTCTTTTCATTCTCTTGTTACTCCTGCTAGTGGTGGGTCATGTGAGTAGGGCAGTCAGTGTTGTGTGTGTCTGAATGATGAAACAAGGCTGGAAAGACCTATACTAGACTAAAAAAAGAATGCCCTGATTTTCATGTACAGTATAATCATTTAAAAGCTGGACTTTCTTTTTTTGGTGACCTTGTACAGTGTAGCTACCATAACCCTGTCTGTATTTTAGGGGTCAGGTCAAAGGTTACTATCAGGCTCATAGTGTACTTTATGGTTATGTTGTATTAGTGTATGGTATGTGTGGTCTTGTTATTGCATGAAGTACTGTACACACAGGTCTTCTTCTTTCAGGTGGTGCATCCTGTCATGTATAACTGCTCATACCTTCCCTAATGTGGTTTTGACTCTTTCCTTCCTCTTGTCTTACAGTACACTCACATAACTCATCTTTATCAGTCTACCATGAACTATATAGTCTCTGACACTCCATCGCCAAACCAACACAAAGATTTCTCCTTGTGTCACGTTTAGGTATTTCTGCAGTAAACATATTCTCTCTCTCTCCTCTCCTCTCTATCTCTCCCCTTGTACTTGCACACTTACCTTTACACTGTGGACTCTCAGATATGAGGAATTTGTCACATAAAGGAAGGTGTTTTTGTCATTCACAGGAACAGGTTAAAGATTTGGAGAAGCCTGTATCCCTGACTGCTCAAGCTACAGACCTTGGGGAGGAGGTTCAGGAGAATGATGAATGTCATGTTCGTCCTGCAGCCGCTTCTCTCACACTACATGACCAGGACGTCTCCCTCACTCCCCTTCACACTGCACTCAAGATCTGGGAGGAGCTTAGTTCTCAGGTCAGTGTTCTTGTTGCTCCTAGTGTACAGTATAGGGATCTTCATATTAATGTTCAGATGTACAGTCAAGTACTAAAGTCTATTCGCTGCTCCTCCTAAACCACGAACCCCAAGATTTAGTCATGAATCCGAAGCATTTATGGACAGAATAATGTATCAGTCTTTTGCTTCAGGTTCGTGCATCTGAATCTCGGGGTTCGTGGTTCAAGGGGAGAGGCAAACAGACTTTAGTGGTTGACTGTACTGTACTGTAGTGAGAAAGAGAATGTCACTCTCTTTACACTTTCCTGAACAGTTGTGGACAAAAAGAATTCATCAGTGAGGGAGGGACGTGGTGTATGTGAGGTGAGGTGTGGACTTTTTCAGCACAGCCGGTGAAAAGTCTCCTGAAACTTTCAACTATTTACATCATTTTGTGGCTATTTTGGTGCATTGAGTTAAAGACAACATATTGCTAGTACAGTGGTCCCTCGGTTAACGAGCACAATCCGTTCCAGAAGGTTGCTCGTAAACTGAAAAACTCGTAAACCGAAGTCATTGTTTCAATGGGTTTTGGGTAATTGGTTCCAGCTCACCGAAAATTGCCTAAATTCAACAAAAAAGGTTGAAAAGTACACTTACTTTGAGGTGTGTATGTAGAAGGCTCCTGGATGATGATGCTGATGTGAATTTGAAGTGGGAGGTTGAGGCGGAGAAGGGAGAAGAGAAGGAAGTGGAGAAGCATTTTACTGCTTCTTGGAAGGGGAGTCACCTTCCATGAAAATGTCAGGAACCTCTGGACTGACAGATTCTCCACCATGAACATCCTCTCTCCTTGAAGTGGAAGGCTGAGGACTGGCATCTTATTCCCTCTGTCTTTTACTGAAGAAAGTGTCAATTGTGGTCTGTGGGGAATCTCTCCTCCTTATCATTAACTTATGTTTAAAAAAGGAGACCATTGTGTCCTCAACATGACACAAAGTTAGTTCAGATTTTTCCACATCTGGGTGCCTTGAAGCCAGATTCCTGAACTTCTCCCAGTAGTGAACAACATCTTTCAACTCTGAAGTTGACATATGGTCATCATTTTCCTTTTCCTCCTCACCACTGTCAACCTCTAACATCTCATCCAGTTGCTGCAAGTCTTCAGGAGTAAGTTCCTGCTCATGAGACATCACAAGCTCTTCCACATCCTCCTCCTCCACTTCAAGGCCCAATGACTGACCAATGGACACAATATCCTGGTCCAACTCTGTGTCATCCTGAAATCCTTCAAAATCATGGACTACTGATGGCCACAGTGCTTTCCATGAAGAATTGAGGGATCTAGTGGAGATTTCTTGCCATGATGACACAATCAATTTTACAGCATCCAGGATGTTGAATTGTGTCTTCCAGAACTGTTTCAGTGTTAGTTCAGGATCAGTGGAAGTTGCCTGATGACACCTAAAAATTTTTTTCATGTACAACTTCTTGAAGTTGCTGATCACATTCTGGTCCATTGGCTGTATGATTGATGTAGTGTTGGGAGGCAAAAACAACACTTTCACAAAGTCAAATCGAGCCTCCAAAGTGCTGGCAAGTTCAGGGTCATGACCAGGGGCATTATCCATGAGGAGAAGAGCCTTTAAAGGGAGTTCATTGGTCGTTAGGTAGCTTTTCACAGAAGGGCAAAACACCTCAACAGCCCATTCATTAAAGAGCTGTCTTGTCACCCATGCCTTACGGTTGGACTTCCAATAAACTCCAAGCTTTCCTCTTCCCACTTTTTGTTGCTTGAACACCCTGGGGTTCTCAGAGTGGTAGACAAGCATAGGCTTCAGTCAGAAATCCCCTGAAGCATTGGCACCAAGCAATAGAGTGAGACGGTCTTTCATGAGTTTAGGCCCAGTTAAAGAGGCTTCATCTCTGGTGATAAATGTTCTTTTGGGCATCTTTTTCCAAAACAGCCCAGTTTCGTCCACATTGAACACTTGCTGTGGAGGATAATTTTCTTCCTCCACCAGTTCCTTAAACTCCACTAAAAACTTTGCTGCCCCTTCCTTATCAGCACTAGCAGTCTCACTATGCCTAACAACATTAAATATGTCATTTCTTTTCTTAAATTTTTTGAACCACCCTTTGCTGGCCCTAAAATCTTCAAATTCTGTGCCTGAAGAACCAGGTTGGTCTGTCTTCAAATGTTCATAAATCTCCCTGGCTCTTTCACAAATAAATTCAGTGGAAACTGAATCTCCTTTCATCTGTTATTCCCTAATCCAAATGATAAGTAACCTCTCTGTTTCTGCAATTAGGGATCTACCTTTAAACACTCTGGTAGATATATCTCTCACTTTCACTTCTTTAAATTTTTCTTTCTGTGCAAGAATTGTCGACACAGTTGATGTCGACATGCCATATTCTTTGCATAGCGCATTTGTTCTAATGCCTTCTTCATGTTTTTTTATAATTTCCTGCTTAGTTTGGATTGATATGGCTTTTCTTGATCTCTTAGGCCCCATGCTGGATTCAAGCAATCTCAACACGTGATATTTTAAGTTTAAACTTGCTGTAAATAAAGAATATTTTCTTTAAAATAACACTGCACTGCGCTATATGTTGTCAATATGTAAAATAAATTTCAAAATGACCAATAATTTGCTTGGAGACAGAAAAAAAACATTTAGTTGAAGAGAGTCAAGCAAGATGTTACCTCCACTGGAAAGACAGAGAGACTAACGCCTGTTTGGTGTGTTGATAGGCTGGATGGCGCGCATAAAAATAGTTTTCTTACCTTCAGTTGTGTTCAATAATTGTTAAAATGACTAAAAAATTTAATATTATACTTTTAAAATTATTGAATAGTATAAACTTCTTGATATTTACTAAAATAGTCAGGAATTTAAGCCCTAGAACCGATTACTGTATTGGTGGACTAATACTAACAGCTGGTTGACCGCCAAATGCAAGCGAAAATATGTTGAGGTCAGCTCATAAGAAACTCGTTAACCGAAGTTAAGAATCTTATGGAAGGTAACTCGTTAACCGAGGGAGCACTGTATACAGTAAGTTGTGCCTGCCTCATAATTAAACAGAAATATAGAAATAATTCAGTTTGTTGTGTGAAAAGAAAATAGCAGTCTCCACCAAGTCTCCACCTAGCCCCTCCTTCCCTGTTGATTTTTTCCCTTCAACTGTACATAATTACCAAATATGATGAAAGAAATAAACCCCAAGAGAGAGAGACATATAAACAATTAAGGTTCATTTTGTTATATCAATACCCACGTCGTACATTACAAACCCGAGCATTTGCATTTAGGACGTGACCCTCGGAGACGTGGAGATGACGTGCGAGTGTCTGACATCCGCGGGCTATGTATATCAACTGTGTGGTGTGGTCGCTCCCACTGTGAGGGCTTGGGTCTCTCTTGTGTCCATAGCTCGCAGGTATTCTCTTCACACCTTCCTCATTAAAGGTTTGTACTCCCACTTCTCAACACTAGTATAATTATGTACTGTAGTACTGTATTGTATGACCTTGGGGTTAATAATAATTAAGTCCTCCTCAGTAATTGGTTGAGACTTGATAAACCAATTTTGTTAACTTTTTGTTTTAAGCCGGAGCTGCATATTTTTTTATTACTGTACAGGTGCTCCTCTACTTAAGAACGTTCAACTTACAAACTTTCAGAGATACAAACATCATTACAGAGGGGGGTTACCTGCCAGAACAGGTGTTTAATGTGGATGGGACTGGATTATTTTGAAGAAAATTCCAGATAGAACAAACATTACCTAAGAGGAGAAGAGGGAGCCAGGTTTTAAGGCTGTATTAAAGGGTATAGCTGTACTAAGGATCCATAATCTTTTCATTTTTTACAATATGTTTGGCATCTACAAGAGTAAAGTTGGACTTACAGACAAGCCTCAAGAACGTAACTTGTTCGTAAGTAAAGGAGCACCTGTAATACGTATTATTGTTATTATTACTGTATTATTATTATTATTATTGTTATTATTATTACTACTACTACTATTATTATTATTATTATTATTATTATTATTATTATTATTATGTTTAATGAATGGAAATAATATCATAGATCATGAGAGAAGGTTCTAGGCCCCCAACCCAAGATGCTGTACAGTATCCTGGTTTATGAAGGCTTATGCATATGACAGCAGTTGTCTCGGAGACTGTTGGCTGCAGGTCTATTTGTAAACTTTGTCCAGGCAACAGATACAAGAAACATTAACTTTGTGTAAATTTAACTCTTTCGATGTGAATCCCAAGTAGGTAGCTGTACCCTCAGTATGAAGGAAAAGTTAAATATTAAAAAAAAATTAAATAAATTACCTTCCGTTGTTTGCCACATAAGCTACGGCAATCACATCAAAAGGGTTAAAATTTAGGCAAGAATAGGTTAGGATAGCCTTAGTTATGTTATATATTAAGTTTGGAATTTGCTTTGTGTCCCCAACTAACATAATGGACCTGACCCTTACATATGGTCTTGCAGTTTGTTTTCACCTAAGTTTACATGCATGTCATACAAGAATGTATCTCTTATCATCATCCCTTAGGTATAAATGAGCTGCTACTAGTAGTTCCTGAGTTAGTGCCTGTTGAGCTTGTGAAGGAGGTGGAGGCAGCAGTGGCATCCTACCAAGAAGCTAATGCTCAAGATTCTTCTCTTATCTACCTCAACATCACCACCACTGCTGCCATAGCTTACTACCACTTCAAGATGGGACAGGTGTGGTACTGTATATTAAGAGCCAACACATAGTCTCTCTTCCCTTACTGTTGTGATATTTTTCCTTCTAAACCTAACATCATCCAACAGTAGAGTCAGTTCAAGAATCACTTGACTATCCTGTCATTGTGAAGTAGGTGTTCCTGTCTCTCACATTGTTAATTATTTCCACAATGTTGTAATTACTTGTCCACTTTAATTACTTACCGTATTTTTCGGCTTGGAAGACGCTGCATTGTGGAAGACGCACCCTGATTTTGGAAATTCATTTTTTTTTTACGGGGATTAGTCCACCTGGGCACAGGTCACTGACCCACATCGGGGCCTAGGGGGCGAAAATGTAATAATAATAATAATAAAGAACCATAAAGAAATACAAAAATGAAAAAAAATCAAGAGTGAGAAACAATATACTGTATGTATGTTGTGTTGTCAAAGTAAGAGAAACAATTGAGACCCTGCAATTGTGTGTAAATGAGGCAGAAAGTCAGATCAGCAACCTGGGACTTGGTCACAATTTTCATGATGCCATAAGGCAGCAGGGTCTACCAATATCTTCCCAGGCAGTAGTACCTCCCTGTTTGGTAGCTGCCTACTACCGACACCGGTGAAACCGTTGCTTGATAATTATACAGCCCTTTTGGCACAAGTACACACACCTCTTTGAATATCATCACTTAGAACTGCTTATCAATCGTCATTTTCATCAATTTAAAAAAAAAATCTGTTGAAGAAGGTGAAGTCTTTAATACAGCACTCATTTTATACACCAATAGTTTTATAGTACTGTATAGAGAATACTTGTAATTATTAAGTACTGTAACGAGGTAACAGTCTTTGTAAGGGGCTGATTTCAGTTGACCCTAAGAAAACCTCTGCTACAACTATCAACTAACGTCCTGGAAGACGCATGGTAATCTTCAAGATATATTTTTGTCATAAAAAGTGCGTCTTTTAAGCCGAAAAATGCGGGAACCAGTTTATAGTTATGTCCCCATCTCCAGGTGTGATTATGTACAGATTAATGCCATAAAATGTTTCTGAAACATATATTTTTTTTTGGTGGTGTATTGTAGTACAAGGAAGGTGGGGAGTATATAAGTCGAGCCCTGAAGACAAAGGTAATGGAGAAGCAGACCATCGGAGCCACAGAGGTGCAGACCCTGGTGCACCTGGTGGCCTCTCTCTATGCTTCGCTGCCCCCATGGCTGCTGCAGCCTGACCACCGGCCCTCAGAACCCTGTGCATTCTTGGCCTTAATGGCATGCAGGCAGTCCATAGCTCTTATGAAAACAAATACATCGTCTATAAATAATGGTAAATGTTGTTGTCAAGTTGCTAACATAACACAAACAGTATTCTAAAGTTATTGCAATACTGAAACACTTGAGTCATTTGGGGAATATTACCTGTATCAGGTGCCTCTGTCACTACTACCAGTTTTGACTTTGTGCCCAGCCAAGCCCCTATTGTCTAGCCTGAGACCACCAACATTCATCACTTTTTCTTGGTTATCTTTCTGTCTTCTGAAACTACACAAGAAGATAATTTATGCTTCATGAATATGTAAATACAACACCATATTTGAGTTTTCTTTGTTGAATTAAGACCTTCTTGACTATCTTAAGTTATTTTTAAAAAATCCTTCAAAATGCTCTTCTGTTTATTACACAACAGTTTTTTTTATGGTGGTGATGTTTCATAACAGAATTGATATGCTGGAGGCACAAACTAGCTTGGCTGCACATAATAACAACCACCTGGATGGGACATCTGTTCATAAACTCTGTCCAGCCTCGACCAGCAAGAGCCTACCTCAAGGAGTCTTTCAGGATTGCTCAGAAAATGGCACTTCCTCTCAGGTTAGTGCTAGTGTTTGGTAGATCACAATGGGTGTTAAAGAGTTCACCTCACAGTACTTCAGGGGCAAGATGAGGCTATGTGAGGTTGTGAAGTGTTTCTGCTTCTTGTGTCACCGTGCACCATTCTACCCTACCCTGCCATATCTTCCCAGTTACCATGCACCATTCTACCCTACCCTGCCATATCTTCCCAGTTACCATGCACCATTCTACCCTACCCTGCCATATCTTCCCAGTTACCATGCACCATTCTACCCTACCCTGCCATATCTTCCCAGTTACCATGCACCATTCTACCCTACCCTGCCATATGCAGAAGTACGATTGAATGAATGGAGAGAGACGGGGTGGGGGGGTGTATGTGTGTAAGTATATTTGCTCTTGATTCTCCTGTTAATTAAATACTCTAATGCTACCTGGGGGGGGTGGGGGGGGTTATGTTGTTATTGTTAAGGTGGTCATTGTAATAGTTGCCAGCAAACATAACTACAGTGCTGTAATATTTTAGATGGGTCTTGTATACAAGTATTGTAGTCTGTTTAGCATATCTGTATTAACTCTGTGCTGTTCTTTAATTTTGTCTATGCACACTCGCCACAAAAAGTTCTCGGATGCTCTTAGGATCATACAATATGACTAAATGAATGAGAAATCTAATCATTGCTTTCTTGAGGAAGTTTTATTTCAAATTAAATTACTTCCTTTCACCTGTAAATACTATAAAGACAAGCAGCATATAATATTACAATATATTGAGTCACTTCACAACCAGGCATACCAACCATTCTGAGATGACACGAGCCATAGTGCTCATTCTCAAATCTGTCATGCCCAGTTGTTCGAGCACTTTTTGTGGCAATTGTACTGTGTTGTTACATGAATTCATTTGAAGGGTTTTCATTGGTATTTGTGACAAGTTTTTAATTTACAGAACTGCAGAGTTACTGGAGTTGCTGGCATGGGTAGACCTCCAGTGTGACCAGGTTGATGACTGCTTGTTTAAGATTGACATTCTAAAGTCTATCCTTGTGGTTCATTCACCATGTGACCAAACTGTAGCAACCATAGTACCTGAGTTTTCTAAGCTAACCATATCCCACAACAAGTCTAAAAGTAAGAAAGTACGACAACAACCTCATCATCAGAAGACGGGCAGAGTTGTGTTTGAGGAAAGCGAGAAGATGAGGGCAGCGAGTAGGCTGCCAGAATTTAAACTAAGGAAAATAACTGGTAACCCAGCAGTGGTCAAGATTGGATCACAAAATCAACTCGTTCACTTTGGTAATCAAGAGCAGCCCACTTCTCCAATCACGGACCATCTCAAGAAGACGACGGTACTACAGTTTGAACCCTGCCCGAGGAGGACCTCCGAGTGTGATACGTGTGCCACACCTGCTGTTCAGTACCTCTGTATCTCAACAAATGTACTCTTAGGACGAATACATTCTCTTCAGGGACAGAGTGGAGTGGCTCACAAATGCTTCAATATGGTTGGTAACAGGACATACTTTACCACGTTGGTATAATTAACCTGTCAACTAATCTCCTCAACTTTAGCTTCCTGGGAACTGCACTTATTCAAATTTTGTTGTTCATTAAAAGAATATGGAAAGAACATACCTAATTTATATATATATATATATATATATATATATATATATATATATATATATATATATATATATATATATATATATATATATATATATATATATATATATATATATATATATATATATATATATATCTATATATATATATATATATATATATATATATATATATATATATATATATATATATATATATATATATATATATATATATATATATATATATATATATATATATATATTATATATATATATATATCACCTTTATGTAGTTATTATAGAGCACCTGTAATTACTCCCCTCTCCCACCCTGTGTTTATTTTTGGAGGGTTGTAGTGGTGTTAGTAACTCAACAGTAAGACCCTTCATTTTTAATTATCTTTGCCTTGACTTATTTATCTCTCCTTTGTATTCCATAAGTTATTGTAAACTTTGACTTGGTAAATTTTCAGGCTAAGGAGTTGTACAATGACGTACTTGAGAAGGGACCTGAAATATCCAGTCATCTGGCTGCTCTTATAGACAAGAAACAAATAGGAAAACTGACTTCATCCTCCAGCTTTATTCTGTCGAGGCTAAACCTGGTAAGTGTTCTTTTGTCTTGGTCCAATGCTGTTGACCTCGGCATGTCTTGCACTGTACCGCCCTCTCTCTACTCACTCACTGTGGCAGATGAATTGAAATCTGGTAAGTTAGATACTGTAGTATAGTTTGTACAATTACTGTACAGGCAGTCCCCGACTTACGGCGGGGTTAGGGACCCAAATCCAGGTCGTAAGTCGAAAATGCAAAAATAATTCACAAAATTATGTGGAGTCATTTTTTATGATGTTTACCATACTTGTCCTCTGCACCTTTACACGAGTAGCTTGAGTGCTACAGCACATTTGTGCCACAGAAATGCTTCCCATAAGCATTCCTGGAGGTATTGATAGTTTTATTTTGCTTTTATTTGTATATACTGTGTGATAACTCCTCCACTCTGTAGTGTTTATTGCATGTGGAAAGATTTCATGATTTGTAAAGTTTTCATAAGTTACTTTGTTCATCTTGTTTTCAAGAATATTTTTCGACTGGTTTTGTTTAAATTTATTTTCTCCAAATACTATACATTATGCATATTTTTTTAGGTACGTCTTCAGACTTTACATGGTATAGTTGAGTGTCTGGCTCTAAGGAAGGAATATGAAGAAGCACTCAGTGTTAACTTACAAGCACTGCACACTGTGAGCCAATTAGATCGTCGGGTCAGTAAATTGAAGATATCTTTTTATGTTTAACTAAATTATTAACCTGTCCATGACAAATGCATAATTTTTCCTAATTCTAAACATAAATGTAGTGAAAGCTCTTACCTGAGAAAACAATATACCAAGTTGGGGTAAGTGTCTCTCTTCATTATGTATGTGTGTGTGTGCGTGCAATTACCCCAACTTGGTATGTTGTGAATTACACGAAAGCGCTTGGGAACTTTGTGTTTTCTTGTGGTTATCAGCATATATATATGTGTGTGTGTGTGTGTAAAATAATAATAATAAACGGTTTATGATTAGAATTGCAGCCGGTGGCTGAAAATATACAGACTTACATTTGATTTAGACATAATGATATAATATGCATTGAATACATTTACAGGGCTGTACAGTACATAAATCAGGAGTTGTTTATTATTTTAACAATAGATGGGATGGTGCTATTCTTATATCTATCGGTGCGGGCTCTTATGGGCTGAATTTTGTTGTAGTGGCAGACTGCGTGAGGTGGGTGGGGGGCTGCCGGTGGCAGGAGGTGGCGATGACGAGGGTGGTGCATTAGTTGGCTGCCAAACCTTTCCAATGCTTTGTGGTGGAGGTCACTGAGGGATGGCATTTCCAGGGTGGAGAAAGCGTTGGTGTAGCCGGAGTATTCTGCGCCGAGCATGATTCTGCAGGCTCTTTTCTGTACTATCTCTAGCTGACGTTGTTGGGTGGAGTTGAGAGAAGACGACCAGGCTGGTGACACATACGTTAGTTTGAGGAGAATAAAGGCGTTGTAGATGGTCCTCAGCTCTGGCATGGGTGTCCCAAGTGACCTAAGTCGTCGAAGCATGTAGAGACGGTACGAGGCTGCCTTGACTGTGTTATTTACATGGGCCTTCCAGTCAAGTTTGTTGTCTATAGTTACACCCAGGAGTTTGGCAGACTGCACCAGCTGGAGAGGATGGGCTCTCTCTCTCTCTCTCTCTCTCTCTCTCTCTCTCTCTCTCTCTCTCTGTTTGTTTTGTTAATAATAATAAATGGTTTATTGAAAAAGTTCTGCAGCCCGAAGGCTGAAAATATACATTGGACATAAATAACTTATTACATACAATGGTGGTTTAACAAAAGCCTTCATTAGAGAAAGGTGAAGGAACATACAGTGAACATACAGATTAATGTTTACAGTGGAGGTCATGTAGATCATGTGAGCTGAGGTGTTGAACAGCAGACACATAGTGTAGTAACTCCCTCACAGATGGTGTTATGAGGGGCATCACGTGGAGTAGTAGTTCCCTCACAGATGGTGTTATAAGGGGCCTGATGATGTAGTAATTCCCTCACAGGTGGTGTATGAGGGGCCTGATGATGTAGTAATTCCCTCACAGATGGTGTTATGGGGGGCCTGATGTGGTGTAATAATTCCCTCACAGATGGTGTTATGAGGGGCATCACATGGCATAGTAATTCCCTCACGGATGGTGTTATGAGGGGCATCACGATGTGTAGTAATTCCCTCACAGATGGTGTTATGAGGAACTTCACATGATGCTATAGCAACTCATTCACTACGTGGTGTCGTAGCATCATGGGGACACCACGTGGTCTGTTGTCACAGGACCTCACTCACTCAAGTGAGTGAGGTGTGGTCCCAGGCCTCCCCATCATGGAGTCTCAGGGAAATTATCACTGGGTACCTGGGACCTCACTGTGTGAAGGTTAGCATGGGTGAGACTCAACTGTTACTGCCGAGTTGTTTTTCACCACTATTCAACACTGGTTCCATTCTTTTCCCAAATGAAATAGTAACTTCTGGCGAGAACTTGTTGATATTCCGGTGGGGAGGAGGGTTCAAGGGAGGGAGTTGGTATGGGCCAACATAATAGTTGACGTGGCTGCTGCTAGAGCAGCGCCAGGTACGTCTTGACCCGTGTGTGTGTGTGTGTGCTGATAACCACAAGAAAACAAGAAGTTCCCAAGCGCTTTTGTGTAATTCACATCTTCAGGTGTGAGTACAGACTAAGGAATAATACTTGACAAGGCTAATATATACAGTAGAGGAGAGCTTTTCTACCACAACTTAACAACTTAGCCCCCTTGATCAAATTCACCGTGGAATTAGAGAATGACTGCAAATTACCATTCCTAGACTGTCTGATCCACAGATTAGGTAACACCTTTAAGTTCAGTATTTATAGGAAACCTACTAATGTGTGTTCATACATTCATTATTATTCTGCCCACCACAATAGAGTCAAACTGTCAATATTTTCATCAATGTTTTTACGTGCTCTAAAAATGTGCAGTCTGGAATTCATTGACGAGGAATATAAATACAGTATATATATAATATTGGCTTGAACCTTAATATTGGTTTGAACTGTATCTGTCATATCTTCAGAATAATGAGCACTGTTCACCCTTAATCTTGTTCAATAAAAAGTTTCACTATAAATACATGAACGTTTTTAATGTGTTGTGCAGTATTGTGGTGTAAAATAATTAATAAATGAAGATTTCTGTTTACAGTTCTCTCATAGTTCTTAAATAAGTGTAAAAGTAAATGATTAAACCTTTATAACACCAGAATAGTGTGTGTGTCTATTACTTGATGGCAACAACACTGTATACTGTATATTTATATGGGTTTTTTTTAAATAATAAGTTGTAAACGACAATTTAACTGCTGTTGGTTAATATTATTTTTTTATCTTCAAAACATTCATAATGGCTACTAAACATTTAACAGTTTCATCTGTGGAGAAGTATGGGGTTATTACTTGTACTGGGTATTATTGTTGGTTGTACTACAGTGATGTTTTCTACGTACACTATGCCAATAATGTTTTTTCCTTTGTCACTCAGCAAATGTTCGAAAGTCAGCAGTTTATCATCCAACTTATCCTTCAAGGTCAAGCCTTAGAGAGGATACTAAAACAGGTGGATGCTGGTGACAGTAGTGGTGAGTTAATGATGCCCTTCAGTGTGTTGCTAGAGATGGTCCGTGTGTCACACTTACGTTGTACAAATAACAGTGGATTTTAACCAAACCTGTTATGTACAGTAAGTACAGCTTATATCACAAAGGAATCTCATAAGAGTTGGTAATCAATATTTTCTGTCATTATTCTCCAGTTATTATCCTTGACTTTAAATGCAGTGAAAACTGGCCTTCTTAAGTAGCATACACTTTGCCAGCCAGTCACACACACACACACAATTTGAGGAATTTAACTGAGCAAACATATGATGGAGGGATTTGGTCGAGGTAGAATGACTGTATGTGGTGTGTGAGCAAAGGTAACATGGGAGGACAGTGAAAGTGTGAAGTACTAAGAAAGTTTCTATGTGTGTCAGCAGATAGAAATTAAAATTTTTGAGGAGATGGCTTACACATTGTCTTACATACCCTACTTATATTGTACAGAAGTGTGCCCAAGATCAGATCACCCAAGAAGTTGTCTAAAGTAGCACTGTACTTGGTAGTAATTGGGATATACTTTTCAAAAATGGTTGGGTAGTTGGGTTTAAATTCACTTTTCAGCTGGTTCTTTTGATAATTAAATTTCTGCTGAATATAACTGATAAAAATATTTTTCTATTTTTTTTATAAAGAATAACAGTAGGAAGACTTGTATAAAATCATGTGATTCTTGTGCTTCCTGACCACGTACTTTTAAGAGCATGTGATTTACACCATATTCAGATATTTATAATGATACATAGGTGATAGTTTGGATACATAGGTGATAGTTTGGTAGTTTTAATAATTTGTTTTGTTTTAGGTGAAGTATGTGAACAAAGCCCAAACAAACAAGAAGAAAAATATAACAGTGGTTGGGTTACCCCATTAAAGACTAAGGCTGAGGTAGAGACAAGCTCCTGCATTAAATCATCACGGCAATATCTCGGTGTCCCCAAGCCGGGAAGATGTCACGAAAAATCTTTCTGTATTTACAGTGATGATGATTTGCAAGACCAAACCTCGACTAAAAAAATGCCTCCAACACGACCAAAGAAAAAAATACCCATGACATCAATGAAAACGTTGGCTGTTGAGACAAAGGCAACTGGCGCTTCCTCTAGAAAGAAAAAGAATGTGGTGAAGAAAATATCTTGTCTCAATGAGACAGATTCAGATGAATGTACCACAAAACTGGCTCTAAATATGCCAGATTTCAGTCCACTTTCTCCTGCTAACAGAGACACTAATCCATCTATAAAAGAAGCAGAGAGTGTAATTAGTGACAGGTGTTTGTCCCTAACTGGTAAATCAATAACCAAGAAAAAGGTTGGTCATAAAACCAAGGAGCCATCGTGTGTGATGGAGGTGATTGATGTCAGTGACACGGAAAGCTGCCCAAATGATAACTCAAACGGTAGTGATGACATGGAGGTGTGTTATGAATCTGAAAATAAGGTTTTCTTAAACAAAGGAAGGGCTTCAGCCAAAGATGAAAAGCAAACAAAAGAGCCTAAATCCAAAACCAAGACAACTACAGGAGTGAAGCCGACCAGCAGTAGGCAGCCGTCCTCTGCCAGAACAAGAACAACTAGATCTCTAAGATTAATATGATGGACAAAATTCATAGATGATGTTTTTAATTTTGATGACTACATTTCCCCGCTGCCTGTAAATTACACCAATATATTTTTCTACCATACAGTATTTTATATTGAGATGAGTAGTACAGTACAGTACAGTACAGTACTGTACTGTGAGTAGATGAAATTATCCAGTATTAATAGGTAATATCGGTGCAGTAGTACAATTTCCAGGTACTGTACTGGATTTGGTTTGGAAGTAGAATTATTGAACACACACATAATATTTACCTTAATACTGTAGGTGAAGACTACTCTTAATTGCATGTGAATTGCCAAAGAACTGTAAGTATCCAAATGTTAATTTTATGATGCAATAAAAGTTCATAACTTAGAAACACAAAATAGTTGTAAATGTGTAGATGTTACTGCAGACAGTTTTTAGTGGATATTTACATTTTAAGGAATATAATTATATTTTTTATGGAAATATTACAAATGTCTTGACCAGGTTGCATGATTTTTGGTAGAGAAATAGAAATTAAAACTATTGATTGAATGTTTGTACTGTCGTTATTTTCATTGAGTCCGAGATTAACGGTAAATTACATTATTTTTTAAGACTTCAAAATAATATACTGGTATTCATTAATAAAGTCATATTCCACCATCCACTCTGTTTTAAATCATCTCATTTAGTAGTTTAAAAATAATAATATTTAAAAGCCTCTTTGTTCTTTACTTAATGTTTTTATTGAGGTATAAACTTCATGACAAAGGTTCATAATGCCAACTTCCTGTAATTCATGAACTAAGAGCAGTACTGTACAGTACAATACTGGTACAGTATTGAGGTGACTGTGTCACTACACAACTGCACTGTACTTCAAATTTTTTATAATTAAACCAAGAGAAAAATGGTACAGTACAATACTGGTAATTCATCAAGTGTACAAGTTGAACATGATGAAGCACAAACCCAAGGACTGAATTGGTCAACTTGAAGGTAGTTATACAGCAAGAGGTAGACACGGTCTGTGGTACATCTGTGGGTAATGTTTAATCCATTTGTTGCTCACTGAAACACGAGAAAGAAGTCAATATTTTTCATCATATACTGTAAAAGCATCAACAAATATATTAGTGTTTGCTTAAAATTTAAACCATTTTGATAAATATTTTTTTCTAAATCTTAATATTGGTGGTCCTCAACAAGTGTCCGGGGTCAATATTGGTAATCCTCAACAAGGGTCCAGGGTCAATATTGGTGATCCTCGACAAGTGTCCGGGGTCAATATTGGTGATCCTCAAGTGTCCAGGGTCAATATTGGTGGTCCTCAACAAGTGTCCAGGGTCAATATTGGTGATCCTCGACAAGTGTCCGGGGTCAATATTGGTGATCCTCAACAAGTGTCCGGGGTCAATATTGGTGGTCCTCAACAAGTGTCCGGGGTCATCCTCGGTGTCCGGGGTCAATATTGGTGATCCTCGACAAGTGTCCGGGGTCAATATTGGTGGTCCTCAACAAGTGTCCGGGGTCAATATTGGTGATCCTCAACAAGTGTCCGGGGTCAATATTGGTGATCCTCAACAAGTGTACTTGTGTTGAGGTACTGAACCAAATGAAAATTATGAAGACATATTCCAAATGTTTTGTTACAAATCAGTAGCATGTGAAACTTACAAGTGGCTATTACTGGACTGTACACTAGCAGTAAGTACACCTATATTCTGATACACTGCCTCTGTGTTGCTCTGGGAATAATACTGTGCTTTATACTGTATGTGTGTGGTTCAACACCCAGGGTCTTTAAGCACCAACTGCATCATTTGTAACAATACACAACATTTAAAATTGAAAATTTAGTTTGTAAATATGTGGATTATTGTATTTTACATAAGTGCAAGACTTTTAACAATTATGGTTTATATTCTTGTACTTTATGCAGCTTCATACAATACACAACTTAAAAATTAAAGGTAATTAATTCTTGCTAAGTTGTGGGTTAGTTGGTTCTGTTGATCACAGATTCATAGTGATGCTGATGAGAATACACAGTGGTCATTAGTGCACTGAAGTCTGTGTGAGTGTAGCTGTGCCTGAAGTCTTAGATCATAGCCAACCCTAAGGTTTTCTTCCCTCATGGGTCAATGTCTGTATGTGTGTGTGGGTTCATATCCCCTCAACTGTTTATAATCTATGTATCCCTTGAGGCAAGCAATGCGACGTACCCCACTTGGTTCCTCGTAGGACAGGGCAGGCGGCATGAAGCATGCGGAGGTCTCCCTTCCCTGATGGTAGCAAGTTGTACCAGAACACAGCACTGCCCTCACGTGGCTCCACACTCACACCTACACGGGGGAAGGCTGTCCTCCCGCCCTCTTCCACCTTGTTCATCTGAAAAAAAATAAAAAAAACAATAGTAAACCATGAACATAAGTAACTTCATTTGTTTAATCATTTACTAATTCAGTGTATTACATGTACTGTACAATACAGTACTGTACCTGTGTATCTCGTTTACAATTAACAGACAAATTCTGCGTTGCAAGATGTGGTTAATAATATACTGTACTGTAGTTTCTTATAGATTTTCCCTTAACTGGAGGTGAGAACATCTAGCTGGCTCATTAAACCTACAGCACAGAAAGAGGTATTAAAATATCATCGCTTTAACAACGAGGCCGAACCATACCTAGATGTTCTCCTTCATCCCCAATAGAGGATTAATATTAACAAAGTTATTTCACCTGACAACCATCCTGAAGAAGGTGTGTATGTGTGGCTCCTGATGCTGGCAAAAAGAATTTACTTTCATACTAAAATATGCATATAATCTAATTCATTACAGTTAATCAAAGCAAAAATAAACTGACTTACATAGATCATGAAGGTAGCGACGCGGTCACCATTCGGGAACTCTTTCATCAACTTTTCAACGGGGTTGTCACTTTCCCACTGTGAGGGAAAACTGAGTCAAGTCACTACTGCCACTTTAGGTAAGATGTTGCTGTATAATTACTCATTATCACAAACATCTGCCTGACTCCATTATTATGAATTAGTTAAGCAGATTTTATTTTTCTTTATACAGTATCTAGGTTAGTGAGAAGTGTCCAGTCATTACTGAACTTGTACTTTGCACCTAAACTTGTCCCCATGTGCTTCAGGTTCATTCCGTAAGTGATTGTTAATATTCATACTTAAATATTTGAACAAGTATGTGTGGATATTTCTACTTGCCACAATACTGTGACTTTCTACACTTGTCTTGTTAAAAATTCACTTATCTCTCACCTTTCTTGAGTTTTGTGTGTCCCTGGATCCACCCCACACCAAAGAGGCAAAGGAATAAAGATAGAGACATGTTGGATGAGGTTCTACTGTAAATGACAACACTGGGTCTGTAGAGAGTCACAGGATGAGAACAAACTATGGCTGTAGAAGAACTCACCAGTGAGCGGTAGAGAGCGAGGAAGTCCATGTGGGGTATATAGTGGCCGCCAGCACCGTACAAGTTGGTCTGGAGAAGCTCAGCCTCCTCCTTATCCTCATCCATCTCCAGACCTGAATAAACATCATATAAAAGTATGGGTGCACCTCCTGAAGCTTCAGCATTATCTACCTCTTAACTGTTCATTTGTGTTGTACAATAATAGTTTTATAATAACAGATTTTAACAGTACCGTAACAGTAGAGATTTATAACAAGAAATTAACAGTAACAATAGTTTTTATTTCCATAATGAACTAACTCGCCTACAACCTGTTACGCAAAATGCACTAAATTTTCATAACGTCTTAAGTAAACTAAAACTGTCTTGGATATAATCTTATAAAACAATATCATACAAGATAACAACTAACAATTTATTAAATATCTCATGTAATAAACCATTTAAGAATGATGTACTGTATTGTATTAATTGATTTATTGTATAATCTGAAATAAAAACTATCATTACTGTATTTAGGAAAAATGATGAGGGTGAACAGTACCTGTGAGTGCTGCAATCATGTGGTTGACAGCGCGGACGACAGGGTGGGTTGGACCCCTGAGCCAGGCATTGTACGACGACCTGTACATGTACGTTAGGCTCTTGTCTGCTCCCTGTACCCGGGCCTGTTCCAGCTGTACACACACAGATAGTATTAATACTGTACACACACAGGTGTTATAATACCTGTACTGTACACACACACACTCAAAGTAGCTCTCATAAACAGGAAAAATATAGCAACCAAAAAAGTTGAAGAATCGAGTTCTATTTTAAGAGAAGGATTATTAATACAACTCCTCACTCAGGTCACACCTCTTAAACAACCAAAATAGATTTCGTCATTGAGATACATTTATGAATCATGGACCTCTGAGAAAATTTATTATTTTCTAAGGTTAGTTTTCTTATCTTGAGGAAAACTGAAGCAGTCACATCCAGAAGTCAGTAAATGTTCAACCTCTCGGGAATCAAAGGGTTAATTCTGATGGTTCCGTTATTATTGAACTATAGAGTAGGGGCATAATGTACAGTAACATAGATTTTCTGTGTTATCTTTCATTGTCTAAAGCAGCGGTTCCCAACCTCAGGTCGCGGGGTGTCCTCAGTAGGGTCGCGAGGGGCCCCCAGACAATTTTAAAAATATAATACTTATCATAAAGTCATAAACAAATTTTTTATTAACATTCAAGCTATATAATATATTATATGCCTGATGGTCACGACACCGTATTGTTGGGAAATTTAGGGTCGCAGCCAAAAATGGTTGGGAACCACTGGTCTAAAGTAATAACCAACTAGGTAGTGAAAAAGAGCCGCTGACAGACAAGATGGGGACATATGACCAAGAGTCACGACACTACCCTCCAGCTCTAGTCCTCAAGGGGTAAACATGAATCACAATGGGCTGAAGTACTTTTTAAAAACCATAATAAATAGAGAGGTAGAATACAGTACCAGGGGTCTGGACAGTTGACGCAGGACGGCCAGCTGGTGGGGGAGGAACAAGTCGTGGAAGGAGAGAATGGCAGGGTCAAGGCTGTGTTCCTCCACCTTGACAGGCATCAACCTCAACCACGGACTGCCACGACTGCCAACATGGCACTTCAGATGTGATGACTCTGATGCTGTCTGAGTAATAATAATAGTAGTTAAGTCATGGGGCCAGACAGACTTTAACTCACTCATCTTGTGACCTTGACTTTTTACAGTGAGATGTACTCCCGATCAGGTGATGCTTCATGCAACAGTAGAGGGTCATCAAATTCTGTCTCGACTCACTGGTTATGTTGCTCACATTAACATTTTGACCTCTTACCTTCAGCTGTGACCTTAACCCTGCACTTAACATACTGTACTTCGATTGCATTGTGTACTTTGTCTAGTGATGGTACATAGTCCTTGGTTGTGATTAGAGTTTTATGAATACCCAGAAAGATAGACACAGACAGACCCTCTACTCTACATGCCTCGGTTTTCTCACATAAAAACGTAAATCCTGATCCCACAGTAGTCTAGGTAGAGAAGGAATTTGGAACCCTTTTCTGAACCCACCCTGGGACCCCTCAACCCACCCTGGGACCCCTCAACCCACCCTGGGACCCCTCAACCCACCCTGGGACCCCTCAACCCACCCTGGGACACTGACCAGGAGGGTGTGGCCACGACACAGGAGAGATAACACTTGTTTGTCTCTGGGTGTGGAGGAGATGACATCTGAGGTCTCCATCTCCTGGGACTCCAACACCTTGTTCTCCTCTTGTTTCTGTACCTCCAGTGGCACCTGTAACAGTGAGGTGGGTTACTGTTTACTTTAGTGTAATAATAATGATAAAATGATGTTCAGTTTCCAACAAAAAATAACCCATGAACTTAGCTCCTAATTCATTAATAAGTTCTGTTTCTTATTGTAATTCTTAAGTAATCTCTCTATCTCTTACTTTCTCTGTCTCTATCTCTTTTGCTCTCTCTATCTCTCTTTACTTTCTCTATCTCTCTTATATCTCTACATCTTACCTGTGATAAAGGTAGAGGGTAGTTGCCTGGGTGGTTGTCGTGGTTCTCCTTGGTCAGCTGATGGTCGTGCTGTGTGCATGTAAACTCATGTGAACAAAAAGAACTTAAAAATATATTGACATAGTTTCGGTGCACTCTCTACCCCTACTCCTGACTCAATGGAAGTCGTAGCCTTGGCTTCATACCGAACGTCCCCTCCCCCCCTACAACCATCGTTCAGTGGTGCAATGTGGTAGCTCGAAGCTTTGCTGGATTGTACGAATAGCAGTTCATGATGTAATATTTGAGAGAATATATGCACAATACATTTTTTTAGTGACTTCACAACAGTTTATTTACCATCACTATACAAGAGGGACCGTGGGTTTGCAGCCCTGACTATGACTTCCCTCGAGCCAGGAGTAGCTGTAGAGGATGCACCAAAACTGTGGCGCGAGAGTGTACATGACCGTAAGTAAAGGTACATAAATGTTAAAAAAATGTGCGTGAACTTGAAATAAACATACATGAATTTAAGAAAACTTCAATGAACACAATAAGCATTATTATTATACTCACAACAGCAGTGGAGAGATGTAGCAGTATATTAAGCTGTTGTGTTTGTCGGTCTTGTCTGATGCTATTCCACTTGTGTTGTCCATCACCATCACCACCTGCCCTTGGTGAGGAGTGTGATAATGGTGGTGAATGATGATAGTGATGATGGAGATGAATATTGATGATAATGATTAATAATGATGGTTGAAGTAATAGTAATGTTGATAAATAACACTATAATCAGTATATAGTAGGTAGTAGGCAGCTACCAAACAGGGAGGTACTACCACCTGGGAAGATATTGGAAGCATAATGTACAGTATTGTCTGATGGTAGACCCTACTGCCATGTGACCAAGTCCCAGGTTGCTGATCTGACTTTCTGCCTCATTTACACACAACTGCACGGTCTCAATTGTTTCTCTTACTGTCGACAACACAAAACAACATACTGTACAGTAATACCCCGCTTTACGCGGTTCTCGTTTACGCGTTTCTACATTTACGCGGTACCCCGCCAGAACCGGAATTCCCGCTTTAAGCGGCGCATCTACTCATATACGCGGAGAGCGGATGGAAGTCTTCTCGCGCCGCGCCATTTTTGGATTCAAACCTCCTGTCGTGTTGGGTAAGCGGCCCGAGTAGGTTGCGCAGTGTATGTCTTTGTTGCGTTATCGGTGACGTCATATGACGTATCGGACTGTGATTGGGCCACGCATCCTTACCTCCCTCCCCGCTAGCTGTGATTGGTTTAATGTAATATGATGTGCCCTGCCGCGGGAGGGATGAAGCCGCTTGACCTAACCGCGTCAGTTACACCCCTCCCGGCCACACCGTGTATATCAGTATCTATTGTTCCATAAGAATGGCTGCCACCGGACCACCACCGCAGAAAAACCTTGCATTACCTGGACCCAGCCGCCCTAAGCCAAAGAAGATACGATTTGCGCTAAGCTACGAGGTGAAGTACAAGATGATCCAAGAGTTGGAGAAAGGAACAAGACAGGTTGATTTGGCACGCCAGCATGGTGTGAACGAATCTTAAATCCGGACGATAAAGAAGGATGCAGCCAAGATAAAAGAACACATGAACATCACAAAGTCTGCAGGTGCTTCAATGATCAAGTATTGCCACAACAAGGTGCTTCTCAAGACGGAGAATTTACTTGTGAGCTACTTGATTTGTCAGGCAAAACGGAGCATGGCGGTCGACACGCGCTCAGTTCAGGAGTACGCACGTAAACTGTACGCAGCAGTGTCACGTAAGATGGGAATTGCAGAGCCCAAACCCTTGAATGCTTCCTCTGGGTGGTTGCACAGGTTTAAGAAGAGGAACAAGATCACAACATTAACATTGGTGGTGAAGAAGCGAGTGCTGACCGTGTTGCGGCTAGGGATTTTCCTCCGTTCTTACGTGAGATTATGGAGGAAGGACAGTACACCGACGACCAGGTGTTTAACATGGATGAATCCGGTCTGTTTTGGAAAAAGCTACCTTCCAAGACCTTCGTTGTCAAGTCTGCCAGCAAGTGTCGGGGCCGGAAGTTGCAGAAGGAGCGCATCACCGTCCTGTTTACCATCATTGCCTCCGGTTCCTGTAAACTCAAGTTATCGGTGATCCACACAGCCCGCAAGCCACACGCCTTCAGGAACATGGACATAACCAAGCTAAATGTCCACTGGTTGACCGCATGTAAGGTGTGGATGTTCTCTACTCTGTCCCTTTCCTGGTTTGATGACTGTTTCGTTCCCGACGTGAAAAAATTCTGTAAGCAACAGAATGCTCCATTCAAGATTTTGTTGCTGCTTGACAACGCACCAGGACACTCGCGCCTATTGTTAGATTGTCACCCCAACGTAAAAGTGGTCTTCCTTCCTCCCAACACTACATCATTAATCCAGCTCATGGACCAAGAATTAATCTGAAATGTGAAAGCTGCATTCTCTGCAAAGAAGTTTAAGCTCCTGAACGACTATACCAACACCAAGGATGAGTTGCGTAACATAGGTGACACCGCTAGCAAGAGCGACGAGGATGAGGAACAACAGTTGGCAGAGCAAGAAGTTCTTGTGAAACACTTGGAGGAAATTTAAAGTCAAGAAAGCTGTGGAGTTCTTGGTGGAGGCATGGGATCAGCTGTCTGTAGCAACGGTTCGTCACGCATGGAGACATGTGTTGCAAGGTATCCCAGTTGGGAGGCAGAGTCAACCTGTGACTGGTGAGGTTCAGACTGTTGCAGTAGCAGTGGACCTTGCCAGAGAAGCTGCGCAGTGTTACAGCTGCAGGCTTCTCCGAGACCACCAACAACGACATTATGGAGGTGATAAGGGATCCTGATGTGACTGCCGACGAGATGTTAGAAGATCACGTCAGTGAAGAGACAGGCGGTGCGTCATCCTGAGAAGAACACAAGTTATCTCATGGTAATGTAAGGGGTGCCATTGAGTGTGTAGGGAAACTGAAGCTCCTCCTTTCCAACGACCCTGACGATAACCGGTATGAAGTCTTCACTACCCAGCTGTTGCAGACTATGGACCCCCTACATCAAGGTGTATCACGACAACATCAACACTAGCCGTCAACAAAGCATTACCGAGTTCTTTGCCCGCAACCCACCACAGCCAGCCCAAGCCAGTGATAGTGGCAGAGAAAGTGATGATGACTTTGAGGGATTTGTCAGGGAGGCACTAATAAGTGTGGATGACAGTGATGGTGACTCACCTGAGGGCCAGTAGCCTGCCCTCTGCCTCGGAACCAGCCTCCATTCCCGTACGCCGACCCATCTCTTCTACTAACGTAAGTGTTAAACCTAACCTTGATTTTTCCTAACATAACCTAACCTTACGTAAGTGTTAAACCTTGATTTTTCTTAACATAACCTAACCTTAGGTTAGTGTTAAACCTTGAATTTTCTTAACATAACCTAACCTTAGGTTAGTGTTAAACCTTGATTTTTTAAAACATAACCTAACCTTACGTAAGTGTTAAACCTTGATTTTTCTTTTACCTGGTACAGTATATTATTCTCTTATTGATATTTCTCTTCGTTATTATGTGTGTGTGCATACCATCATAGAGTTAAGATGTTATTTTTACTACAACGTACGCATTGTGTAGGCAAAAAGTGGAGTTTGGGGGTCGGTCCAGTCTCTATTTCAATTAATCCCATATGTTCTATTGTTCCATTTACGCCTTTCCCACTTTACGCGGGCCTCCGTGGGTTCAATTGACCCGGTAAAGCGGGGTTATACTGTATATCGTTTCTCACTCTTGATTTATTTTTCGTTTTTGTATTATTTATGGTTATTATTAGTATTATTGTTATTATATTTTTATTTTATTATTATTATTTTTTTTGCTATTAATTTTATTACTTGTTGTAATGATAATAATATTAATAGTTTTTATTATTATGATTATTGTTATTATTATATTTTCGCCACCCAGTCCCTGATGTGGTTCAGTGACCTGTGCCCGGGTGGGCTAATCCCCGTAAAAAAAGAAAGAAAAAATGTATTCAGCAGACGACACTCTCCATACCTTGTCTGTGGGTGTGCTGAAGGGCGGCACTGAGCCACTCTACAGCACGCCCGTACATGCTGTTGTCCAACGCCGCAATGCCTATGCTCACCACGTCTGACACTCGTAGTGCTGTAGTGAGGGTGAAGGTGAGCTGAATACAGTACACACACACACACAATAAGCTACATGAATAATAATGTATCTCAGTAACAGCCTTTAAGATAATATTACAGCAACAAATTGAAGGTCATTTGTGTGTGTGTGTGGGGGAGGGTCTGTGTGTGTGTGTGTGTTACAGTACTCACCTGGGCCGTGGGGTGTAGGATGCACGAGATGGGCGGCGTGGAGGTTGTAGACGTGTTGGAGGCGCATGAGGGCGTGAGTGTGGGCGTCCAGGTCTTCCTCCCTCATCACCACGCCCACCCCCACCTCCGCCCCTGCCGCTCCCTCCACCACATCTGACACGTGCAGGAGTTAATCTCAATCAATAATTGTCTATGTTAGGTCAGGTTAAGTTCAGTCTAATTAGGTTAAGTTTAGTTAGGTTATAATAATCAAACCTGATCTAACTCAACTCAGAAAAAAATAGAATAACTGAAGTATAACATAAGATAGAGATATTGTATAAAGAGAGAGATAGAGGTAGACAGAGAGAGACAGGGAGATAAAGAGAGACAGACCTAGTTAAAGAGAGAGATATATACTGTATACCTAGCCAGTGGTGGAGTACAGGAGCATCTCTGAGTACCGGCCAGTCCTTCGCTAGCCTCCTCGTCGTCACCAGACTTAACACAGGGTCCTCTGCCACCTCCTTCACCACCCCTGCTGTACCTTGACTTGTGTTGAGGTTTGTCCCGTGCCAGGAGTCGTATTCTGACACATACCTGTAAGAGAGGTATTGCAGAAGTGGTAGTATTGTAGCAGTAGTAGTAGTATTGTAGTAGTAGTGTTACAGAGGACCCTGTGTTAAGTTTGCCGAATGACATACAGTCAACAAATTGGAAAGGCAAGTCAGGGGACAATGCGGTGAAATGGGTCAAAGAAGTGCATTCAGAAGTGGTCAGGTGGCCGCCCAAGTGCGCGGCCACCAAAGAAATGATCGGGGAGATGACTTGCCTCATAATCAATTACAATCATGACAGCCCCCTGGCCCCATTATCTCTTCAAATACTGGCCATAATACCCCATCTATTCTGTCAGAGGACACACGGAAGGTCTAAGTGCAAAGAAAACGTGGCAGCAATTAAAAGGAGATTGACAATGTAGCAGAAAGGGGCCTACGCAAAGCAAGAACACTGCAGGAGAGTCTAAAATTCATAGGAGATGGAAGCAAAACACCGAGGATGTTGCCAGAAAATTTGGTAACAAGATGCGTGAGGGAAAAGTGTCCTTGGCGGTAAGATCTCTCACAGAGGAATCCTCCGGTGGGGTTCTGCCAATAAACAAAGAGACATTGCAACAACTGAAGGAAAAACATCCTCCTGCAAGTGAGGAGGAAGGCATCAGGTTGCAGGGAGCCTATATCACCCCTAATGCTGTCCTGTTCAAGAAAATAACAGGATGAATGGTGTAGAAAAAAGCACTGAAAACACAGGGAGGGGCTGGCCCTTCAGGCCTGGATGCAAACGGTTGGAGAGTCATCCTCAGCACTAACAAGTTTGGTGCCGTAGCAAGTGATCTCTGCAATGCCATCGCCGCCTCATTCTCCTGGATAAAAATCCAGGGAGTGGGGGAAGTGCTGAGGCGGATCATTGGAAAATGCATAATGGAGGTGGTAAATGATGATGTCAGGGCAGCTGCAGGAAACCTGCAAGTATGTGCTGGCCACCAGGTTGGAGGGGAAGCTGCCATTCACGCCATGAGAAAGGTAATTGAGCAGCAATACTACTGGTCGACACTTCCAATGCATTCAACATACTCAACCGCAAGGCTACACTGCACGACATCAAGATCAAGTGTCCAAGCTATGCAATGTAAGTTGAAAAAACCTATAGGAACCCATCAGACCTCTTTATAACTAGCTTCAAGGCCCTAAGAGGAGAATGCCACCATACAGTCAACTGGGGGTTTTCTTGCGGGGGACCCTGTCACCCGTGGCAATATAAGCACTGTCTGTCTCTGCTCAACATACAATAAATATATAAAACAACCGAGGTTAAGCAAATTGGCATACCCGATGATCTAACATGAGTGGGAAAGTGGAGAACATCAAAGTGGTGGGACCTGGTAACATCACGAGGTGCTAAATAGTACCATCCAAACGCCCAGCAAGTCCTTCCTCGTGTGGCTTCAGAACATTATGGATAGGCTGATAAAGTGTTCGGCGATGAAGATCAAATAACCAAAAGGATGGCCAAGAACACCTAGGCGCCAGTAATCGGCACGACGGCTTCAAGACCTAATGCACATGCTTGGGAAAGGTTGAATAGGTAGGTTAAGGAAATCCAAGCTCTGTCTGATATTGCTAACACAGAGCCCGTGCAGCTTTGCAGCATTCCTTGGAGTCAACATCGCTGGAATTACCTGATGTCAGACCCTCCTCCACCCTCTGGAGGAAGCTATCAATATTAAGCTTTTATCCGAACACTAGTGAAAAACCCTTACTTAACCTCCAGCAGAAAGGTCACTCCTTGCACTCCCACCGAGACTAGGAGGAATGGGATTGACCTAATCAGTGGAGCTGCTTCGTACAGAACATCAGAACTCTGTCAAGCTCAGGAGCAGTTCTAATGAGCACATAATAGATCAGAATGCAGCAAGTCAGGTGGATACCAACCAAATTAAACAAGATTCGGCGGCCCCATTCGACAGAAGCGGCAGCACACCCAAAGTGATAAACTGCAACTGTTGCAACAAGTGCCAGAAGGCAGTGAAAAGAAAAGTAGCTATAAGCGCTTAGGTGGAGTGCTTCAAACTGGTTAACAATGAAATATTGCGATAAGGGCAAAAGGCTTCATCCTTAATACACAAAAAAAAATTCTGAATGCCATTGCTCTAAGGCAGGTAGGCCAGTAGAAGGTTTGCCCTCCCAAGCGTGTGCGCTCGGCTCTTATGACATCGACCACGCCATGGTGTGCAGAAAGGGCTTCGTATGCATGAGGCACTGACGAGTAAAGGGATCTGGAAACAAATCTACTGAAAACATGCCATGATGTCAGGGTAGAACCGACCCTCCTTCCATTGGGCCGGTGAAATTTCTAACATCGGACTTTAAAACCCATCCAAGCCCGTGTTGACATCAGTGTAGCTCTAAAGTTCTGGACACGGGGACAACCGAGCTTTCTTCGACATCATGATTTTTTTATCCCTTGACCGCATGTCACCGTGGCTTAGCTCTCGATGCTGCAGGGAGGGCAAGAATGACAAGATAAGGGCATGCGGGGGGAGAATTCAGGAGAACGTTGATCAGGGCAGCTTCACTCCTTTTGGTGTTCTGGCCTCTGGTGGGATGGAATGACCAAGGGCAAAAGATGCTTTACGCCAGACTGCTGGAGGATATCCGAACAGAAGCAGCAGCCCAGAAGTTATGTTACAGCCTGGATGAGATGTCGACTGTCCTTCTCTCTCCTTCGGTCGGCTTTGCTCTGCCTGAGGGGAACGAGAGCATCGGCTCCAAAGCTGACAACAGTTGCAGATATTGACTATGAGGCAACAGTCACTGAATGCTGCATAGATCTGCGGCTCAACTAATTCAACACAGCTAGGGTAGCTACTTATGTATTAGGATATTTAATTTTAAGGTAATAAAATGGTGGCGAAGTTGTGGCTATTGGGGGAGGCCGGAGGCCATTAAAAAAAATAGTAGTATTGTAGTAGTGGGGTAGTTACCTTTTTATTAGGATAGTTAGGTAATGAAATGGTGGTGAAGGCAACAAAAGAAGTGAACTCCACTTCACACCTTGAAGTAGGTGAGTTGGAAGCATCCTGGTAAAGTTGTTCCTCAGGTCTACCTCCTGCAGGTGTTGCCTCAGGTAGGTCTTCAGGTGTTCCACAATGATGGTGTCCAGACTGTGGGCGCGGGCCAGGTGCTCCACGCTACCCCAGCCCTCCACCACGCCCACACACACGCCCATCATCAACAGCAGCAGGAAGGGTGGAGGTGTTGAACATGTCCCCATCATCATCACAACTTCTCACTGTCTAGGTGTCTGAAAGAATTTAAGTACCATCATCACCACGCCCATCAACCCCTCACGCCCGTTATCCCCCTCACGCCCGTTACCTCCCCTCTGATTCCCTCACGCCTGCTTACTCCTCACGCCTGTTACCCCTCACGACCATCACCCCACACGCCCATTACCCTGCTCACGCCTGGCTACCCTCACGCCCATTTTCACTCCCCTTACGCCCATATTGGCCCCTCACGCCCATTCCCCGCCCATTACCCCTCACGCCCACATTCTGCTCACGCCCATTACCCCTCACGCCCACCATTACCCCTCACGCCCATTACCCTCGCCGCCCATTACCCCCACGCCTGTTACTCCATCACGCCCATCACCCCCTCATGCTCATCACACGCCCATCACCCCCCTCACGCCCGTTACCTCCCTCACGTCCATCACCACTCACGCCCATCACCACTCACGCCCATCACCCCCTCACGCCCATTAACCCTCCCTCACGCCCATCACCCCCTCACGCCCACCTGGAGAGAAGAGTGCCACACCATTATCGTCATTAACTTGTAGCACCTTCAACTGGACGCTTCAACCTCGACTCCTACTCAACAAACCGAGAAGTGGTCAGTCCTTGATAACGGGGCCAAGGTTTAGGTTGTTCTCAAGATGTAGTGTCTCTCTCTCTCTACACACACACATTCACTCATATTCTAGGGAGATTTCAACGTGTCATAAACAGTTATCCAAAGTGGTGATTTACCAAGAGAACTAGACTGACTGACTGACTGATCGACTGACTGATTGATTGACCGACAGACTGACTGACTGATCGTCTGACTCAAAGAGGTGTGAGATAATTTGTTCTTATAAGTGAGGCTGTCGGAACAAATCTATCAACATAAATGCATTTGTGATGACGCATACATACACTAATACATACATACATACATAGTGTCTGGCGCATACACACACACATACACACACGCGCGTGCTGGGGAGGGTGTGCGTGGGAATGTGGTTATGTGCGTGTCACAGTAGTTACAGCAGGGAGGGATGAGTAACACTCGCGAGTGCGTGCGAGAGAATGAGTGAGTGGGTGAGTGCGAGTGAGTGTGTGTATGAGTGAGTCAACGCTGCAGTACCTCACACTCCTGCCGGAAATACCTAAGTGGCAGCGTGGCCAGGGGTGCATCCTGCGTGGCCCGGGGGAGGTCTTGGTGGAGGGGCAATCGGAGCAGGATACACACACACTACACCCCATACACACACACACACACACACACACACTTAAAAATAAAAACACTTACATAATTATCTGTTCAACAAAATCATCTAACAAGGTCACATGGTTGTCAGTACAGGTAAACAAACAATGGCTGACCCAACACAGGTAACCCGCTATAAAGGTCTACCTCCACCTGGGAACCTGACGAGTGACTTACGCGACACATCGTACTCCCTCACCTGCCTCTCCCCTACACTGCCCCACATCCTACCTACACTGTCATACACTAACCTACACTGTCCTATATTAACCTACACTAACCTACACTGTCATACACTAACCTACACTGTCCTATATTAACCTACACTAACCTACACTGTCATACACTAACCTACACTGTCCTATATTAACCTACACTGTCCTATATTAACCTACACTGCCTCACATTAACCTACACTGTCATACACTAACCTACACTGTCCTATATTAACCTACACTGCCCCACATTAACCTACACTGTCATACACTAACCTACACTGTCCTATATTAACCTACACTGCCCCACATTAACCTACACTGTCATACACTAACCTACACTGTCCTATATTAACCTACACTGTCATACACTAACCTACACTGTCCTATATTAACCTACACTGCCCCACATTAACCTACACTGTCATACACTAACCTACACTGTCCTATATTAACCTACACTGTCATACACTAACCTACACTGTCCTATATTAACCTACACTGTCATACACTAACCTAC